AACCAGTCAGCACTTCTCTGACTAAGGACCAAAAGCTGCCTCTGCAGTGACTCTGGCATTAAACAGCATCCAACTGTCAGTGAGCAAAGCTTAAAAGAAAGTTCAGGGACTGTTCAGGGCAAAAGAAATCAGTCCCTATAGAGAGGTTGGCATTTTCTAACCCTGAAAGCTGATCTCTCACTAGGCTTGCAGTGGTAGTCGTTGATACCTGTGTTACATGGTGTTCAGCTGTACAGCGATTACATTACTTGCCCACTACTGTCGTTTAGGTTTTTTTATAGAAATAAAGAAACACTCAATTCAATTGGAAAAAGGATGCTAAAATTATAAACTGAAAGCGTCTGCTCTAAAGTTGTCAAAAGTACTCTTCACTAGAAGGCCTTTTAACCCCAGAGACACGCAGAGAACTTTAATCATGAATATATTCGCTTTGATGGACTTCCAAAGACATACAGCTAATCATTCCCATTATCAAGCTTGGAAGAGCGAGGACATTTTTTAATATAACTCCGATTGTATTCGCCTGAAAGAAGCATGTCATATACACCAAGGATGGCTTTAGAGTGATTAAATCATGGGCTGTAGGGCTGCAACTAACGATTATTTTGATAATCGATTAATCGGACGATTATTTTTTCGATTAATCGATTAATCGGATAAAAAATTATATTTCGTTTTTTGTTTATTATAACAAAATAAAACCCTAAAAACCACACTCTTTTGTGTGTTAAACAATCTACTTAATACAGATAACTTCATTATAAAGAAAAACAACAAATAAAAAAAATATATATGACCATAACCTATGACAAAAATGCTATTGTAAACTAGATTAGTGGATAACTCAGCAAAACTTAGCCTAGAAATATCACAAGTGCACAATAATTTTATAAAATCTAAACATTTAGTGAACATTAATATGAACGAGTTATACATTCATGAAAAACATCGTAAAAATCAGATGCACAGCTGTTTTAAATGTAAAGCACAGCTGTTTAGTGAGGAAGCAAAATATAATAGATAGGACAGAACAAGAAAGGCTATTAATAAGCTTTCATTGTGCAAATGTATTATGACATGATCATGAAAGAGCTGCACAAAGTGCTTATGCGCATCGCGAGCGCTGAATGATGCGCTTGAAGCAACACGGAGTCACAGGGCGGCGCGCAACTCTTCAGTGTCCGCCGCATTAAAGTTAAAAGCACCAAGGAAAGAGAAAGACATATTGACTGTGTATTATACAGTATCTATGCAATAGTTTATTAAGCCTTTTCTTTTAACAGTTTTAAATTTCAGTTAGGCTACTGTGCACGTGAAGAACAATTATACTGCGCCGACTCTACTATAGTGTTGTGATCTAACAGACACTCAGTAGAAAGTAATTAAGTTACAGAAGTCTAGCAAGATAGAAAAACCATCATAGACCTTTATCTACGGATCAATTATAATAATAACATTGAATCATCTTGGAAAGAGATCATCATGTTAACTGTTGTAACGCAACGCGCTGTTTGAACACCGAATAGAAAATGACTGACAGCCGCAGTGGAGGGAAAAGCTTAGGTTAACTTGAATTTAATGACTTAAATATACATTTCTATCTCTTATTATACTATATTATGGCTTCATAAAGTATACACGATTAACGTAGGTCACCTATTTTGGTTTTAAAACGGCGAATTTACCGAAAGGTGAATGATTTTCATGTATGCTGCATATTGATTGCGGTTTCCTGATGCCCGCAAATTAGTTCAAACTCACGGAATCAAGAGCGCGCATGCGAGACAGAAGATAATGTGCTCCAAACCGTCCGTGTTGCGTGCGCGAGACAGGGTAGAGCGGCGAGGGAGAGAGACTGCATGTGCGCCTCATGAAGCGCATGTAAGAAGCGCATGTTCCATGTAAACAATCCCCGTGACGTAATCAGACCAACTAATCGATAATGACATTCGTTGACAACGATTTTCATATTCGATTATAATCGATTTTATCGATTAGTTGTTGCAGCCCTAATGGGCTGATTTTCATTTTTGTGTGAACTACAGTATCTAGGGCTGCACGATTAATTGCAATTTGCAACGAAACCGCAATGTGATTTGCAATTATTTTATTTGCAGTGTGGCTGATCGATAGTAAATACCGCTTCATCTGAATGCCAGAGGGCGCTCTCACGCAGACACGCTAAATATGCCCCATCGCAGAAGTACAACAACAAACATAATTCCAAGAAATCCCTAACGGGCATCACCGCTGTAGCTGAATAAACATAAGATTTAAACGCTTTGATTGTTGATTAAACAAACACACGACAGCCTTATTCTGTGTCAGAAGCCACATCATCTAACAGAAGGATGCTCAACTGTCGTTATGGATTGAGTATGGAGTAAAGCATCTTATTAAATGTTGTCTTTTGTTGGACAGGAGGATCATAAATGATTCTCATTTTTTGAAAAGATGTTTGACGTGTGTTGCTTTTTCAAATGCACAGTGTAAGTGACTCAAACTCAGTGCTTTCAGATGGATCAGTCAGTGTTTAAGGGCCATTTATCATTGACAAGCTGCTCATAAAAACAAAAGCACCCTTTGCGATTTCAAAACAGCGATAAGCCATCTTGATTTAAAGTGTGATTACATGGAAATTGCAACAGCCCTAACAACTATCCCATTCAACAGTGCTCAAAATGCTAGAGGGAAATGCTGGTCACATTTTTAAATTTCAGTAACGAAGTTAGTACTTTACTTTGACAACTCTACTCTGCTCCACAGCTAGTCACAGAACAGTCAGATTCACTCGTCACATGATGATAATAAGGAGAGATAACTGACAGGATGAATCTTGTAAAACTGCCACTCCCTATACACAGAATATGCGTAATTGTGAATTCAAGAATGCAAATCTCACCAACTTTTTCCGAATTCCATATGGAAACATCCGACATGATTATGTCCCTTTCATGTACACCAGATGCAAATTGATCCTAGATCCCACATCCTCACTTTGAATAATTAATGTGTCACATGGGCACCCGAGGAACTGAACTACTGTAACAAGTAAGAGGTATGTAAACAAATACCATCAACAGAATGAATATGGTCAGGAGTGCTTTAGCATTTAAGCTTTCCATTAAGAGCCTAACCAAAAGTACTCAAAGCTAATGGGATCGAATATCGCATGCATAGATAGTAAAACATTACACCAACAGACCTCAGTACTGAAGTACAGATTCAAAGATACAGTGACAGTAAATAAATTGGTGTTGTCACAAGACTGCACTGCCTTTGCATCTTGTGATCCTTATTAAAACAACACAGTGGGATGTTCATCCACACAAAACAGCATACTACAGAAGTATGCGCTGGATGAACTATTTTAAAAGTATAAAAATCAGGGATACAGACAGAAATTGTTCAAATAAGCCCTGCCATCCAAAACAAAACAAATCTGTTAAGTGAACAAATCACTCATTCACTTCCAAGAACTCATATTTTCCTCTTACTCATGGAAAATATGAGCGCATGACTGCTTTCTCTCTCTTTAAAAACTATGGAACAAGAAATGAACAATTGAGTATGGGAATGAGCTGTTCGTTGGTTGGACTTGCTGATTGAATACACCTTTATTGAACAAGTCAGTGTTTTGAGTCTGACTCAGAGTGACTGGCTGCATCTGAAATCTCCTACTCCCCTACTAGTATGCGAAAACAGTATGTGACAAAAGAAGTTGGCCTATGTCAGAATTCACAGTACTCATAAAATAGGCAAAAAGTACCCAGATGACCTACAACTTCCCAGTGAGAGTCTGAGGCCACGGGAGATGATTTGTGAACGAAACTGATGTTGTTAGGGAACATGATAAATGACAACATGCTTGCGAATGTAGTACGTCGAGATTACATACAGTACTAGTCAACATTTGAAGTGCAACAAAAAATTGAATCAAAGTTGTCCTACTTAAGACAAGAACGGGTATCGGGTATTATCAAAAATTCATGTATAACTTTTGATGAAAGGTTTTGGTCCACTTCAAATGTGAACTACTGAACATACTGAAAAGGGCAGGCTATAATGTCATTCAGTTTATCACACGTCAATCTCCGTCACATCAAAAATAGGCAGAATAATTACATGTATAGTTAATAAAGGGCACGGAAAGGATGCTTTAATAGTGTTTTTGGTGTCGCTTGTTGTGAAATAATGTTATGTTTTAACAAATCTGTTGAGTAAATGACTCAATGACTCGTTCAAAAGCAAAAAGGCAGACACTTTTATCGCCACCTACAGGCATAACCATAGATAACGCCATAAAGTGCAGAAAGAGTGAATGAACGAATCAGCTGCTAAACAAATCTTTTGGAGAGCAAACGATTCGAATCACTGAGTGGGATGAATCACGTTCACAATCATCATCACTACCGCGTGTTGCGCGAGCAGAAATGACACATGCGTCACATTTAATAAGAAGCTCACGCGCCCCCTAAAATTTTCATTTGAACCTCACTGGTCGCACAAACTGTAGTGTTTCCTTATTTATGCTTAACATGTTTTGAAAACATATGGGGAGATGACAATCAATATTACAACATAGGCCTAACGTTAATTGCAGACAACAGGGGGATCCAATATATAACGTTAACGTTACTTATTTAATAACTGTACGTTATTTATAAAGAAAACACACTGCAATACAAGTCTTCAACAGACATTCACATATTTTTAAATATACCCACGAACTATTCAAACGAAGAAAAAAACTATTTATGGTCACCAATTAAAAATGGAAACAAAATTAATTCTCGATCAAATTAAAACAAAATACAGTTTAAGCATTACTTTCCAGCTGTGAGTCTTTCAGGGAGGATTTTCTACACACCCGGCGCGGCGCTAAAACCGCGCATGCGAAAGTGTGCTAACGGCTAGCATTCACTGTCTAAAAACGTGCAAACTCAATTTTGTGCTTAGGAAAAACAAGGGATTTAACCGTGAAAAACACGTGCGCTTACCTGTGATGTTTAATATTTCCCCCGCACAATTTTTGCGCGTTGATCCGAGGGCTCTAGTGCTCTATCCAGCTGTGATGGGGAACGCAGTGATATAGCTTAGCTTCGCTGAGAGAGGAACTGAGTGACTGTGATGATCATGATGGGTTGCCAGATTATGCGTTTAAGAGAAGAACAGACGTCATAACCCACCACGCGCCAGGAATAACGTCCATTCGTGATGATTCTTATGCAAAAAGATTTGTATCACGATTCATATTGTGTATATTCGCTGGTGAGAATTTGACTGGTTCTGGGAAGAACCCTAGGAGTAGGATTGTTTTAGGATATTTTCCATAATAATAGTGCTGTACTGTAACTGTAAAATCCTATAGCTAAGCATTTATAGGCGTATAATCCACAAACATGGCCACCGCGGTAAGGCATCAAAGTTTGTAGCTCGACAACCTGAATACCTGGTATGACAGTTTAGTTTACAGGCTAGTCTACATATTACCCACAATGCAGCTAAACATAGTTGCAAAATTTGCAAACTAACGTCAAAAGCTCGCCACTTCCCGAAAAATAAGCAAAGTGATTCTGATCGATAGTTTTCTTGTCAGTTTGAACCATTTTCAAGTGACTTAAGAACAAAATGAATCATCATCATTCAGTGTAACGTAACTTAAGCTTATCAGTAAGTTAGAATCCAGTGAGCAAATCGAGTTACTGGCAAATACTGAGACGAGGGGTTTTGTGGCTTCTCTGAACTGTGGTTGCCAGGTAACATGGCTCAAAAGAATCCCCTTAGATATCGCTGAACAAAAGAGCATTATATTTTACTTCGAAAACTGCTAGCTGTTTGGTTCGAAAAGCGTACAGTATACATACATTCTTATCTTTCTTAGTCTCTACCTATAGGCTAGCTTCTTTTTGGAGTGATTTTTGGCCATGTTTGACTAGACTGAAACTGAAAAAGTCAATTTGTTTATTGTTTTTGCAAGATGAATTGCTTAAAGGAGTAGTTCACTTTTTAAAAAAAAAACTTTTGCTGATAACCCAGACAGCAAACTGACATTGAATCAACGTGGAAACGACGTCTCTCATGACATTGAAACAACGTTGATTTTGCTCATCGAATTAACGTTGAACCAACGTCAGACGCGGCATTCTTCAAAGCTAAATGAAAATCGAAAATTGGTTTGCTTTCATAACGTTGAAACGACGCGTTGATTTCAAGTTGATTTTCCGTTAGTTTTGAAAGAATGACGCGTCTGATGTTGGTTCAACGTTAATTCGATGAGCAAAACAATGTCAGATCAACGTTGTTTCGATGTCATATTTCCACGTTGATTCAATGTCAGTTTGCTATCTGGGAATTTACTCATCCCCATGTCATCCAAGATATCCATGTCATTCTTTCTTCAGTCGAAAAGAAATTAAAGTTTTTTATGAAAACATTCCAGGATTTTTCTCCATATAAGAGCAAGCAGAGCAAGGCAAGCATTTGAGCTTATAAAACTTATACTTTGTTATTTATTTATGAAATGAGCGATTGTTTCGCTTGATAAGACCCTTATTCATCGTCTGGAATCATTTAAAGCCCTTTGAACAGTTTGCACAGAAACTGTCTTTTGGCCCTTGAACCATTTGGTTACCAGTAAAGTGCATTATATGGAGAAAAATCCTGGAATTTTTTCATCAAAAACCTTAATTTCTTTTTGACTGAAGAAAGAATGACATGGATATCCTAGATGACATCGGGATGATTATCACCAAAAGTTTTTTTTTTTTTTTAAAGTGAACTACTCCTTTAACTGCCTTTAACATTTGTTCTCTGCAGACAAAAGCACAAATATGTTGACAATTTTAAAGCCCTTGTTTGGTCCAGTGTCGTCGGTGCCAGTGGTGAGCTTCCTACCATCATCTTGCAAGTTGCAACAATTGTCTTTTGTGTCAAGAAGAGCTCCCCTACTGTTTACTAGACCTCTGGTTTGTGTAAATTCTCTGACACAAGCACATTGCCATTGCTGTCTGCATCTAAGACATGAATTCACAATTCTTTCATTTACTGTCTGATGCAAGAAATTGCACTAAATGTGGCAGTTATCAGAAAGACTGAAAATAACAACATACTATAAAGTTTCTCTAGTTCATGGTAAGTGCAATATTAATCGGCAGACATACACATTAACAGAATACAACAAATAATGTCCATTTCCCTTCATAAACAACTAGAATGGGTGAGCCTATCATCTTGAGTAATTTAAAGAATCTATACAAGAGAAAGAATCTATTTACAATATATGAAGTAAATAAGTAGCCAAATAACTTAATTCGGTTAATAATTTTATATTTGTTACATACAGTATATGTGAGTACACAATTTTAAGCCTCAAGACTCTGAGAGTGTAAAAATCCAACAACTTCCAATAAACCTTTAGAATAAAAGGTCAATCCGGTCATTGAGGGAAGCATTGTCAGGAGCTTTTCTCTTTCGGCTGAATCACAAAACTGTAAAACTTTTTTCTGCGAATGCTCCTTGTACATTTAGGAAACAGCATAAGCTAATTAATTAGACACACATATGCACACAATATTGAAGTTGGATTTAGATCCTTAATATTAGTCGACTGTTAATCTATCCTTGGGTCTAGGTTTAAAATTTGGGTAACAAAGCTACCCACAATGCAATTTCCTGTTCAACATGCCTGGTTCCTGTGTAAAGTTAATGAATAACCACCCCAAAAGACAACCCCTCTATCACCCCTATAAATACCCCAATCTTAGGCTTTGACAGCAGAGGACACAGCATGTCTGAATTATCCTACAGGAGCTTTGTTGGCTTTCTCAGCTTGTTGGGTTGTCTCGAAATGACCTATGCTGTTCATCTCAGTGGTAAGAAAATGTTTTATTCAATTGTATGTGAGCTAGTCACAAATGAATGACAAACATTTGTCCTGTCGCTTGATATGCAGAAGCAAAGTGCGGATCTACTAAGTCAAGAGGCGTACTTGACCGTTCTTTGAGAATAGTTGGAGGTTCAGAGGCTAGACGAGGTTCCCATCCGTGGCTGGCACGTAACTGTTCATCTTTACAAATCGCATGATACTTAATTTTATTTCCAAAAGGGCATGCTGTATTTCACAGATCTATTTCACAATCATCTACAGGTGTCCCTTAGGATCAGAGGATCGCATTTCTGCGCTGCAGCCATCTTGACAGACCACTGGCTTTTGACTGCTGCTCACTGCTTTGCAAGTGTATCCGCGTAGGTCCACTCATTTACCCATGACTAATCATAACTTTTGACCCTGTCAACACTTAAATGACCTACTTGTGAATGTAACTGCTTGCCCTAGGGAATTCCTCCACAATATTGAGACTGTAGCAGGTGAATTCAACCAAAGAAAAGTTGACAGAGGGGAGCAGAGCTTCCACATAAAGACTGTAATGTTCCATGAAAAATATCAACGCACCTCTCCCATGAGCTACGACATCGCCTTGCTTGAGATCAATGGACGCATTCACTTTGGCAAGTCGTTTTACGAGGCTAACTTATGCAAGAAATCAGCTATAGAATCAGAGATGAACAAATGTGTGTTTTCTTGACAGATGATTTCATTAAACCTGTTTGTCTGCCTCATACCGGTGAGAGGTTTCCACCCAAGACCATGTGTGTTGTTGGTGGATGGGGTCGTATTACTGAGAGTGAGAAGCCACTATAACAATTGGGAGAAATATATCAAATATCTCAAAGGTATTAAAACAGTGGTATCCTCTCTTTAGGAGGGCCAATTCCATCAGTTCTTCAAGAGGTCCATCTGGACCTGGTAAAGCAAAGCAAGTGCCAACAAGTCCTGCAAACTCTTAGACCTGAGCAGAAGACCTTCACAGTCCTGTGTGCTGGCCCAGAGAGAGGCCGGAGAGATGCCTGCCAAGTAAGTTGACACCAAAGTTGATTCCCTAACATTGACTATCACACCTACTGTATGGGACGACTTTGGTTCAGGTTTTGAGTTCCTATCTGCTCTCCTGTGCTCCAGGGGGATTCTGGGGGTCCTCTCCTCTGCCCTAGAGAAGATGGAAGCTGGGTGGCTGTGGGGGTCACGTCATGGGGTAAGGGCTGCGGTCGAAGCTGGAACGACAACAATATCAAACCATCATCCAAAAGAGGCTCACCTGGAGTATTCACTGATGTCTTAATGTTTCTGTCATGGATCAAGTCAAATCTTAGGAAAGGTGGGTATTGTTGTCAACTAATATCTGAAACAATGTAGGTTCAGGTTCAATCACCATTTGCTCTCGAGCAAGACACCTGGCCATCCGGAGTTTTCCCATTGGGCCGCTATACAATGTGGGCTGGCTAACCCCAAATTTCAATAAGTAAGTGTACTGCAAGACCCTTTCAAATAAATGATTACTTGCTTACAGAACTCAGTGTAGGTGTCGAAAGGTCCCTGTGCAGTGTCCCAGATGGAGTTGTACCTGGAAATGAAGGCGTTATCAGAAATCCAGCTCATTCAGGGCAAAGCTACAACCACAATGAGTGAGTTACATCTGAAGTATTTTACATATTTGCAACCAAAAGGGTAAAAACTGAAACTTTCACAGCAATTTTTTTTTTGGTGTAGAATGTGTTCGTGGTCCATTCGAGTTGCCATTGGTGAACGTATTCTTCTGGAGTTCTTGGAGTTTGACTTGGAGAATGACACAAAGTGCCAAAGTGATCATCTGACAGTGTATGTGGATGAAGACAGTCGAATAGGTGATGGGGGAAGCATTTACACGAACTATTCTTTTACCTTCTGCAATTGGTTGCATGTTTCACCTTATGACCTTGCTTACCAGGGCGGTTCTGTGGCGGTCAACCACCCTCTCCAATTCTTATTGGTGCTTCCCATAGTGTCACAGTACAGTTTGTATCAGATGTAAGCAACACAGGTGCAGGATTTGCCATCCAGTTCAGTGGTGTTGGCAAGGATTTCGGTTTTGGTGAGTTTTATCTGTCAGACTGGTTTCTCCTGCTCTAAAAAAAGTCAACAATGTTCCCTGAAAGGGACAAAACAATGTTTGAAGAAATCTGTGTGCTCAAGACTAGTCCAATTCAGAATGAGGCGTGCAATTGTAGCCCTTGCCGATCACCATACATACATTGCGCGGATGCTTGGAATAGCTTGCTTGCATACTGTGTGTGTGATTAGCATGCTTGCTTGTACATGCCTGATGATTTTGTTTTCGAGCATTGTCTCACTTACACGTCCGTTCTGTGCTCTCCTTAGCAGAACAGGTTAGTGCCCAAATGATCTATCAGTTCCATGACCTGGTCTGCAAAGTGTGTGTTAATTTCCCCAGTCAGGTTAAGAGGCAAGCTAACATTCCCCAGTAGAATTCTGTTTTCACACTGCAGCCGCTCAGATAGGCTCCTCGGAGAGCAGAGAGCTTATCTCAATAGGACCGTTACTATAGTTACATGTCTGCCATCTACCAGTGGCAAGTTCAGAGAAGGTAAGAGCCAGGTTCAAATCACCACCCTGCTCCCGTCGGTATGACCCTTGCCGTACAGAAATGTGACACCATGCTGCAATGCCATTGGCTGGGCTCCATTCTACCAGTTTCTCCTTTTGTGTTTGTTTGTGCAGGAGCTGAATGTGGAACAGAGGTGCTGTTAGAGCCCAATGGGGCTGTGCGGAGCCCCGCCTACCCAAATGCCTACAGGAACAACAGCCTTTGCCACTGGGTCATCTATGCCCCAGAAGGGCACATAGTCAAGGTAAAAACAACCCTGTAGCCCTATTGTTGGCCCAGTCAGCGCCTGGTGTCCCCTCTGTCCAGTCATGACCTCTCTGTCCGGTCATGAATGCATGCATGCATTGAGATTGGAGGCTCTGATCAGTTTCACTGCAAAAGAGAATGTGATACTCAATTAGACTCCAAAGAGCGACGTTATGACGTCACTGGCAGTCATGTAACACTGGTTGTTACCTGCTGTTCACAAAATTCTGTAGATTGTTTCAAATTAAGAGCCTTTCATACATTTTTATTTTTATTTTTTGGCCGAAATAATTTTAGGCATTTACAATGACAGAAAAACCTGACTGGGTCATTGTGTGTTCATAATCATCTCACTCTGTTCGCTATATGCTAACATGCTAATCCTTATGTGCCTTTTAGCTTGACTTTGATGACTTTGACCTTGAGGAGTCAGAAAACTGCCAATATGATTCACTCACAGTGTTCGGAGACATCGATGGCATGGATGAAATAGGTAAAGTGCAAAAAAAATTATTACAATGGAAGTATTTGATCTTTTAAAATTGAAACAGAACTATAACGTTTACCGTTCATACGTTTTTTAAAATGTTTTTAAAATAAATGTATTGCTCACTTAGGCTCCATTCATTTAATTAAAATACACTAAAACAATAATATTATGATTTTTTTTCTATTTGAATATACTACATTTCTGGTAACACTTTAGTTTACGGTTTAATTCTCACTATTAACTAATTGCTCATTCAAGTGCATATTACTTATAGGATATTGACTGTTTTTAGTACTTATAAAGCACATATTAATGCCTTATTCTGGATGACCATATTCCCTTAATCCTTAACAACTTCCTCACTAACTATTAAAGCAGTAATTAGTTTATTTAATTAGTATATCGAGTTTATTGAGGCAAAAGTCATAGTTAATAATAAGTTAATTTTGGACCCTAAACTAAAGTGTGACCACATATCTTATTTTTATCAATGTTGAAAAACAATTTGCTGTTTAATATTTCTCTGGAAACTGATATTTTTTTTAGGATTCTTTGATGAAAAGAATTAGAATTTAGAATAGAAAACTTTAAAAACAAACAAAGAAAAGATTAATTTAATGCAAAAAAAAAATACTCAAACATTTGAATGACTGCATATTTTAAAATAAAACTAATTGGTTTCATTTTATCTTTAGTAATGTGTGTTACAGTGTCACGCTGTTATCAGTTACACAGGAACATTTTGCACTGTGGTATTTTGGGAAATGTAGTTTTCAAATGCTATTATAATTTTTGTGTTTTAAGTGGTTGTATGTGGCAGGAGCATTCCTCCGGCTGTTCTCAGCTACGGCTCCATAATGCATCTGCAGTTCAGCACAGATAACACCATCTCCGCCCACGGCTTTATCGCCACTCTGTCTTTTATCAACGAAAAAGGTGAGAGTCAACATTTAGCAGATATTGAAAACACTCACTGCAGGTGTTTAAATGTCATGCAACCAAACCTTGTCCAGACATGTGTCGCGTGTGCAAATAGTACGCCACAGTATAAACACACTAGCTACTACCTCAAAAGGTCAACAGTGAAGTTGAATTGTTTTGCAATCTATGCGTTTAAACAGAAAGTTTATTATATTATATATAAGGCTATTATATACGACATATGAGGAGGGCTATATATAAAACATCAAATGTATAAGATTAAAGAAGATTAAGTATAAGATTATTAAGTATAAGATTAAAATAAATCTCAAATTCATTTATCAATCTAGGTTTTCTATTGATTATTGATATGTACATAATATAGTATATGTATTTAATATTTAGTACTTGATACAACAAAGGCACAACTGTTAATACATCTCAACTTTCTAAACCTTTCTTTGACACTTTCTATGCTGTGTGAAAAGATGCCAAAAAATGATAAGGCCTTGAATATTACATTTCCTCGCAGATCTCCAAAAGACAGCATATCAAGATCAGGAGGAGGAAGCAGATTATGACAGCAGAGTGATCTCGCCACATTTGGAGGCTGGTTTGTTCTTTGTGTTCTCCACTTTTAAATAGGCTCTTTGTCTCAGAGGGCCTTTAGAATGTGTGGAATCCAACTGGAGCCAAAAAAATGTGTAAAATAAGGCGAATAAACACTTATTCAGAGTCACAAATGAGAATGTATATCTGAACAGATACATCTGTGGGTGTATTTGGTTTTACCTCAAGTATTCATGCTTGCGTTCCACTGACTTCTCAGCTCCGTGTGGAATGCCTGATACCTTTTCTGGCTCTGGAATGGACAACCTGAGGAGAGAAGAGGATGATGGGAAACTGCCATGGCTGTGGCACGTGAGCGTTGGTCTGGGTGCAGGCCATGACTGCAGCGGGGTGATCATCCAGTCACAATGGATCCTTACTGATGCGCACTGTGTTTATGACCTGTGAGCAGCCAACATGCCAGAAGTGTTATAAAAGGCTGTATCTAATGGAGCCCCTAAGGGGACATGGTGATGAAAACAAACAGTTAGGCGGGAAATATATGATATTTGTGTATTAAAACGTTCTACAAAACTTTTCTCGGGGAAAGGGAAAAACAATTGAATTATACGTTTTTCTCCCATCTTATTATTATTATTAATTTTATCGTTACCATGCCCCTTTAGGGTGCGGTCACATTACCAAAATTCCAGCAAATTTTCAGGCAAAACCCGGTTCATTGTCCATTGACTATTGTGTAGAGATGCATGAAGCACCACTCTCACAGAAGTCACTTTCAAACCAAGAAACTTTCATTTGGTCAGCGCTGCGAATTCGGGTGACCAACTTGAGCAAAATCTATTGTCCTCATGCGAAACTACATAATAACTGGATCTAGCCTGTTTTTTTCCAGAGTAAGGGTAAATGTGACACCTTAAGGGGCTTCATACTGTAGTTTCTAGAGCCGTGCACATGTATTAACTTTGAAAAAGACATCAAAACTTATGAATACACAGTATTGTACTTCTTTATGAAGGCACTATACTAAAAGTACTTTTTATGTTGATTTCTTTGTAGGAAAGAAAGACTTCCAAGAATTGTATCAGTGACGACAGAGGGCTCGAAGAAACAGGTGAAGTAGCTAAATCAACATAGGCAGGAATGTTGTTCCAGGAACAAAAGATGTTGATTTTGTGTCTTTAAAGGGACAGTTCACCCAAAAAAAAAAAAAGAAAATTCTCCTTTTCTCGTTTCAGACCCGTGATGTGATCAGAGTACACGTAAACCCTTATTACAACCCATCCTCTCTCGAATTTAATGTGGCTTTGCTTCAGTTGAGCTCTCCGATAAATCTCAGTGAAAGCACGCAGCCTGTCTGTCTACCCTCAGCTGGACAGGACATCTCACCCTCCCTCCGCTGCTGGACCAGCCAAACGTGTACGTCACCAATCTGCCTTCACGAGTTGACCGCTGCGATGGTTACACAATAGTCTGGAGGATTTTGATATGTGTGTGTGTGCATCATAAGCAAACATGACATTTCACGAATACTTGTTGACCTAGAGTTGAACTTTCAGAACTTGAATGTCACTTGAACAATGTAATTTTCTCTGTTGCACATTTTGCTCTCTGTGGATCTTTAGGTGAATGTTATACACTTTTTTTAGCAGGACATGGGCAGCACAGACCTGTATGGCTAAAAATATCGTTGCTGGAACGAGCGGTGTGCGAACAACAACACGGAACTAGATTGACACCTACTTTGTTATGTGCTGGACTGAGCACTGGAGAATCATGCATGGTGAGGACTGCAGCTGTAGGCCTACTGTGAACTGCACTGAACACTTGCTGTTTACTAGTAGGGAATGCAATTGAAGAAATACTGACCTCTAGTGGGTAAGTTCAGGAAGGACTCTTAAATGTGCTCTGTTCAAAACCACTTGTGTGCTTGTGGTGATCAATGGGCTGTATATGCACCTATTTTTTACAGTCTATGATATGCACGCATAAGTTCCGCATTTGACGCAAGGATGCTCGTCCATTTCCGGTTGTGGAGATTTAAGCGGAGGAAAACCGAGAAAAAATGGGATTATGGCAGAGTCTTCAAAATTTTCCCGTCTTTGAAACGAAACGTACACACGTTTAGATGTAATTTTATATATAGTTATGTTTATTTAATATAATTTTAAAAAGAAGCATAAACACAACGAGGGGTCTGTTTTATCTGTTTTTGTGACTAAAGTTTCTTTAGTATAACCATGGAGTATAAAATTCAATATAAATTTTCGGTATTGCATTGGACTCTACGATCGGCGGAAGTTATTGAGCATCCTTAAACCTTCACCGGAAATACCGCCGTGCATAGAATTTGGAAGAGCGGTATGTGAATATACTTCCCTACTACAGTATATAGAAGGCAAAAAAAACGTATGTAAAAAGAATAGTATGCACTAATTCACAGTATTCATTAAGCTGTAGCAGCTTAGGCAGCATAGTGACAAAGTTTAGTCCATAAGAAGATATTTAAAGGTGTATATTGTATATTTAAAGAATGTTCAATAGGTAGCCGTACAGTTTTGGTGACCATTGAATGAATGATTTTTAGAACTGTGTCACTTGATGCAGCAAATTGTCATCTGGAAATGCACATTTCAGTGACTAGACAAAAAAAATGCATGGAAGTAGCTATTTTGCTAGTCAATTTCTGACCTTTTTACAGACTCATTGGAACGGTGGACCTCTCGTCTGTCAGACAAACACATCTGGGGTTGTTCTGATGGGAGTGAAGAGTTGGGGAGGACCTTGTGCTGGGATCCAGAAGCCTGCAGTATATTCTTCAGTACCAGCTGTCATGAACTGGATCTCAAAGCATTTGGACACTGAGTGAAAACCCTGAAATAGCAGAATTCAATATAATTTTTGTGAATTATTTCATTCTGAAGTCAAAATGCTCTGTGGTGCAAAAGTCCCTCTGTGGTGAAAATCAAGTTTTTAATGTTGTTTATGTGTCTATGTGGTGGAAAAAATGTATAAATATGTGATTTTGGTAAACTAATATTTGTTTTTAGGAATAAAAATATTGACTACAGAGGGACTTTATATTGTTTAGACAACCTTGGCTAACTTGAAATATATTTTAAAGCTTCAAAAATGTCTGGCATTTCTGTTTTTATTAGTCTAACTGCCTTGGCCTTATGTGCTGTACTTGAGGAGATTCCTTGACCCATCCCGCTGAATATGACATCAGGCAGTGGGGTGATCCCACACCATTCACAGACACACATGAAGAACCATAGGCAATGCTCTGCTCATTTAAATATTCTATTTCTATTGGCTGAGACCACTGAGGGGCCTACTCCTCTTGGCTGCATTTCATTAACTCTCTGTTCTCTTCCACTATTAACTAGCCTTGGTGCAAAGGTTGGAATACAAGAGAAGAGATAGACCATGAACAACTTTTACCTCACATATACAGTCACAGTGAAGTTAAACCCTGACCATATGAACTGATACAGTACATTAGAGGATTTAGACCAGCATGGATCAAGTTCTAGTGAGTATTTTCCCCCTTTCACAATTCACATTCATAAATCATCTGCTTTCTTCCTCACTCTGCCTTGCAAAAAGCAATTTGCACCTTGCTTGTCCTCCATGTCAGTTTCACGCTTATCTGCTGATTTTATTCTGGTTAGAATGACAGCAGTGGAAAGAACGTGAGATATAATTACAGACATGCAGGTTATCAAATCAATGTTGAATGTAGCACAACATGCCAATAGTTTAGTGTTAATTGCTCTGTTTATTATCAAATGTTTAAACGCAACTACTCTATTATTCTTACTAAACCACTTTTCACATTATGGTTATCAAAATAAATGCAAGTTGTTAAATAATGTTACATAATTAAATAACAAATTAATTAATAGTATTATATATACTCAATAATACTTAATATACAAATTATATATATGTATATATACTTAAATGTTTTATTAAAATTACATTTAGAATGTAGAAAAACAGTAAGGTCATTAAATGATTAAAGTTGTATCGGCATGTTGAATTTGTTAAATTAGGATGAATTTTGTTAAAAATAAATATTTAAATAGTAAATTAAACACCATCCAGTCAATATCCTGCATAAAAAAAACTATTTAGATTTTAATATTAAACTATTTAGATTTTAATATAATAATAATTATATTATGAAAATAATTACAATATTTAATTAAAAATTTAATTTATATTTATAATTTACTTATAATTGTACAATAAATATACATTTGGTTTACCTATATTGTTATTAAATTATAATTTATACACTGTAAAAAATATTGTTGGTTTAACTTAAAAAATTAAGTAACCTGGTTGCCTTAAAATTTTAAATTGATCTAACTGGAAAAAGTGAGTTAATACAATGAAGGAGATTGATTTAATCATCAGAAACTTAAAATAATAAGTTATCTGAACTAAATCTTGAAAATATTTTTTTTACAGTGTATTTGCCTAAAAAAACTCATTTCAACCATAAACCAATTGTGCTAATAATGTGTTTAACGTGTATTTTGCAGACAGCACCTGTGCTAATTGGGATATCTGTAGTGGTGATCACAATCCTCTTCCTCGTCCTAAACTCAGGAGGCTCCAATGGAGATCGAAAGCAAAGCAAGTTTCCAAAAACCTTGCAGGACCCCAATCTGAAATACCAACTGCCACTCATAGAGAAAGAGGTTATCATGTGAACTTAAATATGTTTTCTACTGCAAAAGATAAAAGTAATAATATTCAAGCAGCCCATTGCATTACGTGTATTTGCTTTGCAACAGGAGATCACTCATGACACTAAAAAATTCCGGTTTGGTCTTCCATCCTCGTCTCACGTTCTTGGTCTCCCTATTGGTAGGGCATTGCACTACATCTTTATCGCATCAGCAGAATCACCTGACCTCAAATATAATATCGCAATATCACCTGAGTTTATCTTGTATTCGGTGTCACAGGTCAGCATGTTTACCTGTCTGCAAAGGTGAATGGGAATCTGGTTATTCGTGCGTACACACCCGTGTCCAGAGATGAAGACCAGGGATACGTTGATCTAGTTGTAAAGGTGTGATGCAATACATTTTGTAGTTGCACATCATGACTGGTTATGTTTTATAGTAGGCTTCATACAAATCCCTTTCCTCAATATCTCACATAAGGTCTACCATAAAAATACTCATGCAAACTATCCTGATGGAGGCAAGATGTCTCAGTATTTGAATGATATGAAGATTGGGGACACCATTGACTTTAGGGGTCCAAATGGATTACTGGTATACAATGGAAAAGGTAAGGAAAAAGACTCCTTTTAGTTTATTATTACTTATGAATAATCACATATTCAGTGTTATTTTAGCATTGTTTTTTCTAATTTAAATTAACTTATATTTAAATTTCCAGTTTCCCTAGTTCAATAATTTCCAATGTTTCTACATCAGTTTTGTTTGTACGATGCATTTAGCCACTAGAGGGCGACATCTTAATGCATGACCTGTATTACACGACACAATTTTTTTAAATATTGAAATGCTTCAGATGCTGCATATATTTCTTTACTGACATTTACAGGGCAGTTTGCTATTCGTCCTGATAAAAAATCTGAACCTAAAGCGCGGAAGTTTCGACACGTGGGCATGATTGCTGGTGGAACAGGTAATGATGGCATACACTCACCTAAAGGATTATTAGGAACACTAGCTAAGTGTATTTTGAAAGGGCTCCAATGTATTCATAGTAGATTTCCAGGAATTTCTGCCAAGACATTTAATCTAAATAAGTATTAATTAAAGACGTCACGTTCATTCTTTCAGGCATCACTCCAATGTTGCAGCTGATCAGGAGTATAACCGCAGATCCTGCTGACAATACCAAGTGCTCCATTATATTTGCTAACCAGGTCAGTCACATTCATGACGGAATTCTCATTAAAAAAAAATAAAAATAGGCAATAGATTACTGTAAATGGAGCTCAGAGTGCATTTGACCACTTATTTTTGTGTTGCTTCCCAGAAACAATATCTAAACAGTTAAGTGATAAGAATAGTTTCAGACGTACCCATTTTTTCTCCACCAATGAAAATAGTACTAAAAGGTCCTACAACCCCCCTTAACATTCTAAGGAAATAGTTTTTGATGTGTAGAGCGTTATTCTAACGTTCTGTTAATGTTTCACAAACGTTATTATACATTTCCATGAACATTACAATAACCTCTTTACTTGAATTACTCTTTGTTGAATTATTAAAAAATAATATTAAATTTGTCCATGCAAGATTTACTATATTTCACTACCCAGATTTTACATTTCTTCAGCACCAAGTATCTACATATGACTTCAACACAATCTATGGTTTTTCAAATATGAAATTTACAGACATTAAAAAAAATGATTTGACTTAAAGTAGGATATCAGTACATTTGTTTCTTACCACAGCGGGACATGCTTCTTTTGGTCTGTAAAAGAAAAAGTCTCGATTTACATCATGTTCAATAAGGGTGTCAGATCTATCCGAAATCATATTTACTCTCACATCTATAATAATTTTAAATAATTATTCAACAAAGAGTTCGATAAACGAATGTTAGTCAGTAAGCCAGGAATACCCTTTCAATTTTAAAAACTTGCTCCTCACACACATTATATTTATAGATATTTGTCCACATCTCCGTACATTTCAGCTGGAAAACAAGAAAATTAACAGAATTTTTGCAGTTATTTCTTAAGTCTTATTTTAAATGACATTTTCCTAGTGAATGTTAACACATTATACATTTGTCATAACATAAGTACACCTTATTTAATGTTTGTTAGCGGTGTTGTAAAGTGTGTTTCACTCCCACAGACTGAGAACGACATATTGTTACGTAAAGAGCTGGATGAAGCTCATAGAAATCACCCTGATAAACTCAATCTGTGGTACACACTGGACAAGCCCTCTGAAGGTACAATTCATCTACTGATATAAATATCTCGATGAATTCTAAGATCATTTGACTGCCCAGCAGTAGAGACGCCTGTGAAGATTTTCTGTCTCTGTTCTTGTAACAGGGTGGAAGTACAGCAAAGGGTTTGTTGATGCCCCCATGATAAAAGACCATCTCCCGCCTCCGGCCAATGATGTGCTCATCGTGATGTGCGGTCCACCCCCCATGATCCAGTATGCCTGCCTGCCAAACCTCGACAAGCTCGGCTACAAAACTGACAACATTTTTGCATATTGATGATGTATAATGCCACTGATTAGTGTATTACACAAACAAATTCTGTGATCATTTGTAATAGATGGTTTGCAGCTTTTGAAACAATCGAATCAATGCAGGATAAGAGTTCTTTTGTTGAATCCATTTGGTTTTGTTTGTGAGGAATTATCTTTGGAAAAAAGTCCAAGTCAGGCCAGTAAAAGTAAACATTTTTTTTTTAATCTGTATTTTTTGTTGTTTTTAAGGATAAATTTCAAAGTATTTTTAAAACGGGGTGTTACAGCGCAGTCTCATCCCAAGACGTCATGTAACTGACGTCTTGTGACCATACGTCAACATCCGCCTTTTTAGGGTACCCTTAAACGTTGGTTAGATGACGTTATCGGATCCTAACCCTACCCCAGACCTAAACCTACCCCGTCACCTAACCAAAGTTAAAGGTAAAGCATCAGTTGTATGACGGCCCGGGATCGTCATGTAACCGACGTTTAAGGGTACCCTTAAAAGGCGGATGTGGACGTATGGTCAAAAGACGTCCCAAGATGTCAGTTATATGACTTCTTGGGATGAGACTGTGTTAGGTATGAACATTTCCAGAAAAGTTTTGCATAAATTTACAAAAGTTTTGTAAAAGGCAATAAAATCAAGTTTTTCAATGTTTCAATGAGCATCTTAAAGGGATAGTGCACCCGAAAATGAAAATTCTGTCATTATTCGCCCTCATGTCTTTGCAAACCCGTAAGACTTTCTATCATTTTCAGAACACAAATAAAGATTTTTAATGAAATCTGAACGATTTCAACGATTTCCGTCCCTCCATAGACATTAGACAGCTAAGCAACTACGACTTTACGCTTCAAACATCTTAACACTATATGAATTGAGTGGTTTAGTCAAATTTTTTACCACTAATTAAAAAAGTTTACCACTGTCACATCACCTTTCCTTTAATTACGCTTTTTAATCATCATAAAAGAAGATATTTTAACCATAACAAAAAAGAATATTTTGACCACTAAAAAAGAAGATATTTTGAAGAATGCTGATAACCAGACAGTTGACGGCACCCGTTGACTTCCACAATTATTATTATTTTTTTTAGGCTATTATGTAAGTCAATGGCTACCATCAACTGTCTAGTTATCAGCATTCTTCAAAATATCTTCTTTTCTGTTCAACAGAAGAAAAAACATGAGGGTGAGTAAATGATGCCAGAATTTAAATTTTTGGGTGAACTATACCCTTAAAGGAGTAGTACACTTTAAAAAAAAAACTTTTCCTGATAATTTACTCACCCCCATGTCATCCAAGATGTCCATGTCTTTCTTTCTTCAGTCGATAAGAAGGTTTTTGATGAAAAAATTCCAGGAGTTCGTGACTCTCCTGTTCGAACTCGTTTATCAAAATGAACGAATCTTTTTCCAAGTCAATTCGTTCATTTCGTTCGTTGAATGAACCAAATGACAAAAAAAAAAAAAAGATTTGTTCATTTTGATAAGCGAGTTCAGGAGAGTCACGAATGCGCATCACAGAACACAGCAAGGCGAGTATTTGTGCTTATAAAACGTAAACTTTATTTATTTTTTAAATGAGCGATCGTTTCGCTAGATAAGACCCTTATTCATCGTCTGAAATCGTTTAAAGCCCTTTGAACAGTTTGCATCGAAACCGTCTTTTGGACCTTGAACCGTTTGGTTACCAGTGAAATGCATAATCTGGAGAAAAATCCTGGATGATATCTTGGATGACATTAAATTATCAGCAAAAGTTTTTTTTTTTAAAGTGAACTACTCCTTTAATAGATCCTGTGGACAGAGACATTTTTTAAATGTGGGGTAGTAACAAAGAAAGAACAAAACATGTGAGAAAAAATATTTATTTCTGCACACTATTTTCGATCAAGTAACAGTTAAGGATCGCTGGAGGCGGATCGACATCAGACACTAGCTTTAAAAGTCTTGGGAACATACAGTATCAACATACAGACCCGGTGCTGCATTCAAAGCATCTGTTACAAGCAGAGCTGCTCATTAGAATAAACACCAAAAATGTTAATGAATCTAGTAAGAACAGCTCAGCTGTTAGGTGAACTTAACAAGCATGGTCAGAGGATCGTCACCCTCCTTACCGACCAGTGCTTGCATCATTCCACTTGAAGTGGCAAAGCATTTCGCACCTTTGAAGAAGTGATCGATAAAAACCTGATCAATCCTCACACACTTCCCCACGGCTGCTTGCAGGTTGTTGCTTAGTAGCCCGTAAATGTTTCCTTTGTCGTTTGGTCGACCGAAGAAGAGAAAAAGCGCGTAACAGTCTCTGCCGATGGAAGAGCAGAACTCCACCATCCTCTCGGCTGGGGTTCTCTCCACCACATCCATCCTGGCCATGCGCATGATGTCGCTGTAGATATCCAAGGACAGGTCCTCCACGTTCTCCTCCGTTCTTTCTGGCAGGTGAAAAACCTGCGTCGCGATCTGGACCCGGGGGTTCTTGCTCGGCTGATCCAGCACGGCCCAGACCCAGTGGGCTCCCAACAGTATCCTCTGTTCTTGGGTCATGGCGGTGCAGTTGAACGTGTCGCTGAGATTCAACAGGCTGCTGTGCTGGATGTAGGTCATCAGAAAGATCTCGCTTAGGGTTGAAGGACTTGGGTGGAACTTGTTCTCCGGGTCCCTGAAGAGCAGATACTCCTTTGTTCTGGATGAAGCCGCTCGGATGCAGTCGCTAAAGAGGTGGATGAGGTCCGCCGAGGAGGTTTTGTTGGGTTTAGCCCATAAGGTTCTGAAAATGCTGGTTTTGGCTTCATACTGGAGATATTTTTGGTTCATTCCAGCTGGTCCAGTTCAAAGTGTTGTTTCCCTTATACACTGGAAATATTGACACATAATTGTATTTTAAGGACAACCAAAAATCTCATTTAAAATCCAATAGACTGAGTTTTAATTTGACAAATTAACATTTGTAGACAAAAATAAATATGTATATGATTACAAATAATGGCATGCCATTAACATAAGCGTTACAAAGAAATAGTTGTTAATGTGGTCACACTTCAGATTAGGGTCCAATTCTCACTATTAACTATGACTTTTGCCTCAGTAAACTCTTAGTTAGTACAGTATTTCTTAGATTTAGGTATTGGGTAGGATATTAAGGGGTGTAGAATATTATCATACAGAATGAGGCACTAATATGTGCTTTATAAGTACTAATAAACTTATATTAGCACATTAAAAAATATTACACTCTAAAAAATGCTGGGTTGTTTGAACCCAAATTTGGGTCAAATATGGACAAACCCAAATGTTGGGTTAAAATGTATTTTTAACCCAACATTTGGGTTTGTCCATATTTTATCCAAATTTGGGTTCAAACATCCCAGCATTGTTTAGAGTGTAATAGTGAGAATTGGCATTAATGGACACTAACATGTAAAATGTCATTAGATAAAATAACTCACCAATATTATTCTTTCCTTAGTATTGGGTGAGAGTGAACCTGCAGTCGGATCTTTCTTCTCTCGTCTGGTGTCCTATTAAAATAAGTGTGCGCATTTAAGGCTAAACCATCAGATAAGGACCTCCCAAATATAGTGTTTGCCATTTGGGTCACGGGAGACGCTGGACGAGTCATCATAAAGCCCCTTACAACAACAAACCCCTTTCAACTCTTGAGATGGATTTAATAGAGGTATGGCAAGCAAACAACCATTTCTGCTTGAAAAAACAAACTGCTTTTAACATATTATATAGATTTGAAAAAAAGATCAAGCCCAAGAAAATGACAAACTGTTGGGCAAACAGAAAGATTTACTCGCATCCAGTTCCACTGGCTACAAGAACACAACAACAAATGAAAAACAAGACAGAAAATAAGGCTGTTTGCATAGTACACAAAAAGTTTAAAAACAATTTTCATTTAGTGCCTTATGAACTGAATCACAAATCAAAAACAAATGGTAATACAATAACAAAATAGTGTTGAGCTGGATGGTGAACAGGTCCTGAAGGTTTGAGGGTGAGGCGGGTTAAGTTCTGGGCAGTTAGTGTGGCTCACACTATTGCGGTGTGGCTGCGTCTCATTCCTCTCAGCAGCTCGTCTCGGCTCAGTAAGTACTGGAAGTGAGAGGAGGGGATGGTGCCAGGATTAGTGCGAAGCGCTCCACAAGTTAAACTAGCTTAGCAGAGTTAAACTTTTCAGTAACTGTTTGCAATATGTGACACGAGGGCTGAATATTCAATTCAAGGATTTAGAAAAATAATATTATATATCCCTGCCAAAGAAAAAGAAAAAAAAGCTGAAACCTGCGTACGTCACAAAGTGCGGAAAATTCAACTGCAGTAGCCACCGTTCAACCCGAAGAGGGCAGCACTAAGATGTTTTTACACCATATTGTAGAAATAAAACACTTTATACACAAATGTCAAAAAAGTTACTCGAATCAATGACTGGTATTAATAAAGATCCATTCTTACAGATCATTAACTAAAAAAAGTTGGTTTAGGGTTTAGTTACGTTTTAAGAAGAAGCATAATAGCTCCCCCTACCATTTAACGGCGAAAACATGGATTGCAGGAAAATTCTGTCAGTGGCGGGAAATATTAAGATGTGAATATTAAAATTTGTTTTAAAACGTGACTTTCATTTGGTCATTAAGATAATATGTAGATAAATGTTGAATCTTTTCTTTACTATGAATTGTAATATGGGTACATGTAAATAAAAAATAAAGCATCGTTATAAGCATCAGGCTACAAGAAGTTCTATTGAAATGATGAGTCTATTTTAGTTTGGGTTTTTCCCAATTACATTCACAATATTCAGATAGATATTCAGAATGATAGATATTCAGATAGATATTTAGATAGATAGATAGACTAAAATCTGTTATTGGTTAATGGATACTGCGGATTTAAAAAAAAAACACCTTACTGTGAGGTTGTTAATTCCCCTGGACAAGGCCTCGATCTGCATCCCTGATCCTTTGGCGCACAGAATCTGAAATGTGAAGATATCCATCAAATATATCAACCTAATAATATAAGTTAATATTCATAATTGTACACACAATGTATTTGTACAAACAAATATATTTGTATTTATACATGGAATATTAAGCAGAAGCAATGGGTGGTAATGAAGTTGCAAATAATGTGAATATAGAGAAATGTATATTAGAATGTACCTGCACAAGTGCATGAAAATCCTTTCCCAGCATGCACTTCTCCACAAATGACCATTTGTTGGTGGGTCAGATGCATGGATGACAGCAGGTTAATGGTTAATGTTTGTAAATCATGCATGCCAATGTTTTTTTTTTTTTTTGTGTGCGCAAAGTTTGTTATTAAAAATAATTTTGCAAGTTTTGAAATTACACACAGCCAAGAAGACATTTATCAAGGAACATTTTTAAAGGGAAAACATCCTTTATGTGCAGGAAAAAACACACAATATCACTGTGATCGTGGAGGTTTATTGTTTACGTAACAATATTTTGCGTTATATATCGCAAATATATCATTAGTCTTTCTTCAACTGAAGAGGCAAGATATCTACCTATAAAAATACTTTTGTGCATTTCATTGTATGAAAATAACCGATTAATCAGATTAGTGAGCATTTAAGTAGTAGTCTGTTCGCCTCTTAAAAATTCCCCATAAATAGACCATTAAATAACTCTAAAATATGCAAATATTGCACAAGATAGTACACACTGTCTTTTGAAACAGTAGGTGTTGGGTTACAAAAATGGAATACTTTTAAATCTCAATACATTTTTTTACGATCCACAAAAAAAATAAATGATAAGAGTCGACCGTATTATCACAGGTGAAGTGGCACTATTCTGGGAAGAGCGTTCAACTAAACCCCGTTTCCCTTGAGAGATGATGTACTAAACCCTCGGATCCAAGTCTTTCCGCAGTGTCCGTCAATGAAGGATGCTGGGGGTGTTAGAAAATGGCACTGAACTGAAGCAGGGTGTCGTTGGGAGGTTGCCGTGGTTTTGTGGGATATGGGTGCAAGCGTCAGATCTGTAGAGCTCCCACCTGCTCCCGTCTCTCTGGGTCCCTGTCGAAGATGGGGCTCAGGCCCCTGAAGCCGCTGTAGGGCCGGTTGGCCCCGTTGAGCAGGGCCTGGGCTTGGGACGCATCCAGAGGGCAGATGTAGTCCGTGGAGTCGTCAGCGCGCTTCTTACGGTGGCCAAAACTGGAGAAGCCTATTTTACGTGGCTGAGGAACAGAAATACAACAGCATGAATAACAGGGATTAACAACAGTATATCAGTACCTACAGTATCTGCCTATTATATCAGCTGAGATTTCATATTTAACTATGAATACACAATTCCTTTATTTTATTTAGTTTTTAAGTTCAATCTTTAGCAAATTTTACAATTAATATTAATTTTCATACTGTTAGGATGTTTGTTTTGTTTTTGTTTTATTTTCTATTTAGACAAAAAGATTATAAAAGTAACATTCTCCTATAATATAATATAAAGTTTGTGGAAAAATTCTGAAAACTACTACAGCATTTATTAATCATTTAATCTTATTAACAGAATGCTATTCCAATCTTGTTATTGCAATCATAAGTGGCATCTGTCAACATCAGTTAATTCCCTGTGAACTAACATGTATTAACTTTTGTTCATTTTAGCTAATAGAAATATCAAGTTGGATAGTTAATAAATGCTGTAAAAACATGTTACCCATTTTTGTTGTTAAATTACGTTTTCAATACATTTGTCTACAACATTTTTTGTTATTATGAATTAAATTGGGTGGAAAAGGTTGTTTTATTATTAATAAAAAAATAAAATAAATAAAATGTTCATTCATTCATTACATTCCATAATGAATTAATTGAATTGGGCTGGATAAAAAGCAAGTATCTTATTAATAACAATAATAATAAATATTTATTGACCAAATTTAATCAATTGAATAATTCATGAACTGGGCTGGATATCAGCGAATATGATAGGATACACACAGCGATTCATGAAATTATCATCATTTTTATGGAAAAAATATAAATAGAGACAAACCCAGTCCATTAATCTCCAGGATCAGTTTAAAATTGTTGTAAAAGACTCAAAATTCTTCCAGGTGAGGCAAAAGAGCAACATTAAGAGACCCTTTAATGTCACGTCATCCTTACCGGAAATAATTTCTCCTAAAAACGCATTCTTTCTATTATCATGAAAAATGAATGGTTGGCAAAAGACGAAGGTGAACTAATGTTTCGTCTAAAGCTGCATTGTGCTTAGTAAGTATGTTACACACTGTAGGACCATTCGCTCAGCACATTCCATATAGATGGCCTAAGCAAAATCTAAGTGTCAAAACACGTGTGCTGCATCAGCTGAGCTTAAACACGAATCCGGCTGCTGAAGCAGGAGTCCATATATTTACATGTGTAAGGGCTTCCATCTTCATTCTGAGGTGTACGCTTGGCAGGGATTAAGGTGTTTCTAAAGATGTGGCCAGCGAATGTGAACTGCTTTTCTCACCCGGACTTTTGCGGTGGTGGTTAGCGGCGTGTAGTTCGATGATTCCAGGAACTCTTGTTTCTCTTGCTGAGCCTGAGAGCCCACCAGCGTGTTGAAATTAGTGGCCAGATGCCTCCTCAACAGAGTCTTCTGCGGGGGGATGTTCAGGAGCAGCGCAAGGGTGTCCGAGTTAAAACGAGGTTCCAAGATCTGACAAAAAAAACAAACAAAAATATAGTTATTTGGAATTTATTGGAATCTGAAACAAAATATTTGCTATGGTGTTCTGAGTAGTTTTTGCTAAGGTGTTGCTATGGGGTTTTAGCATGTTGTAATGCATTTTGTAGGGCACGGGGCGGCAAGTAAGTTTGGCATCAGGCCAAAAAATTAAATAAATGTTGTCACTAGATGGCAGGCCAGAAAGGATATGCAACTAGAATTGCCTGTGACAGACTGTTACAGCAGGGACTTTAAGCAACAGCTGCTGATAGAACGGAAGTAAACGGTTAACTGCCGTAGCTAAAGAGCGCAAAAATCACTAAGCAACAGTAACGAGGACGGCATTGGCGATAATTTAATCATCAGACAAAATACACAAAAGAAAGTGATTTTAAAAAGTAAGAGAAGGGTTGATTTTGGCACTTAATGATATACAGAAACGATTACAATGCCACATAACCTAAAACATAACATTAACTTTCTTAATCTGTCAGGTATAACGACTACAGCAAATCAGCTGTTCTCCCGTAGTAGACGGTTACAGTAGAACGTCGCAAAGTAGCAGTTAACCCTCTGGGGTGCAATGTGTATTTGGGGTCCTAGAGATGTTCTGACATTTGTGCTTTTTTCAGTTACTTATAAACATATTAATGGAACAGGTGAAATCACACTCTATTTAGCACAAACAGGGCTACCATAATATGTGAGCAACATGTACATTATCCATTTAATACATACCTTCACAAGCACCCGTGTTTGTGATGTTTGAGTTGGGGGAGGCATGACGCACAAAAGAGGCGCTTGCAAATATGCTTTATTTTTGTAATTCCGCTAAATGCCACTAGTGTCGCAGAAACTATTTAATCAACTTTAATTAGTAACAGGACAAAGTTTGATTTGAGTCACTCACTATAAGTCCTCCATGCACTCCGCTGCCTCTCAGGTTGGGGGCGTATTCTGCCAGGTCAACCGATCTGAGCCACTCCATCACACGGTGATTGGACCACTGGACGACCTCAGAAGGGGATGTTTTATTCTGTCAAAACAACAAGAATTAGCATATTCATAATGCATTATCAGTCCTGGACGTGCAGAAGTAGATTGCCCTCTCTTTGTTTTCTGTTTATTTCATCCACACCTCATCTCCAGGTCTTCTTTTGAGGCAGTTGGGGTTGAACTTGTTTACATGTAGGACGTGGATAGCACACTTGATGCTGAGGTGATGAAGTTGACTGGTGACTTTCATGAACAGCAGATCGTTCTGAAAATGAAACGAAAGTACCGATATTAATCTCAGTTGATACTGTACATTATATTCCAGACTTTTAATTTGATAGGCAAGGCACTAAAGGTTAACAAAGATATTTACCACTGTTAAGTACTGCAGCATTCTACCGTCCACACGTCCGTCATGAAACTGGTCTTTGTACTGCGGTAATCCGATATCATCCAGCCATCCTGTGTGGAAATAACATGGTTTCTTTATATAGAGTGCAACTGTAATTCCTTATTCATATTTTCTAAAATATCTATGTATGGAGCACTAGGAGGGTCACCTAAAATAAAAAACTATGAAGCAATCAATTATCACTTTATTCAGTCACAAAACCAACAAATCAAACAAATCACTTTCAAATTGACAAAGACATACTTTTATAAATATTTAATTAATGTTTTAAAATGTAGTTAATAAAGCCAATCGTAAAACAATTTAGCATTTTAAAAAAGTTACTTATTTATATTATACTGTATATAGACTATTTATTTTTCAACTTTGAAAGATGCTATTTATTTAATTGTTCATTTTTTCTGTTCTTTGATTACTTCTTTTTATTTTTAAGCAGCACTCCAAATCCTCCATATGTGCCACAAACAAAACAAAAAAGAGTGATGAAAATTGATTTGTTCATACGTGTGACCCAGATGTGGTCGAGTTCAGAGGATTTCTCTGTGATTTTGGTGCTGAAGGAGCGCAGAGCCAGCTGGAGCTTCTTCCTGTGTAGTGGATGTTTAATTCCCAGATCCTAAATGTGAAAATCAATTAAAAAAAAAATCAAGATGGCTGTGACCGCATATTATTTCGTTGGTAAATGGAATCTATCGATATCAAGGAATGAAAATGTATAAGTGTTCAATTATGGACGCGTAAAGTCATGTAAAGCCAAACATTTAATTGAGTGAGTTTGAAAGCAGAACAAATGAGTAAGTCACGCCACATTACTGGCGTGGGACAGAGGTTAAAGCTGCCCTGGCAGGTAGAACCAAACCAGAATTTGAGTGGCACCACAACGACCTGAGGCGAGAGGCATAGCCAAATCATTTTACAGGAACCGCCAGGTGTTGGATGAGGATATCAGATTGTTACAACCTGAAACCACAGGTCTGCATATGTTCTTTCAAATATGTGCTGATATCTTGTATGAATCATCTCTCACCTTCTCTACGTCCTGCGGGGAGGCAGAGAGTAGAGTCTGACCACTAGTCCCCCACTGTCTGGCCATATTCACGTACTGACCCATGCCAGTGTCCTCCAACCATGCACAGACCTGATCACATGACCATTTCGAGAAGGGGGCGTTCATGTCACTGCAGAACATAAATGTAGAATATGAGAAACAGGAATGAAGGTGCTTACACATGTCTCAGAACAGATCTCGTTGTAGGTGCTTTAGATACCGTGCTGAAGAACCGATGCCCAGGCAGGCGAGTCGTGGGCCAGCCGTGGCTCTGAAACCCCCTCTCTTAAAATCCGAATCAGAACCGTCAGCTGGAAGACTGCCAGACTGGGTTCTCCTGATCCTGTGAAGCAGAGGAAAAAACATGTGATCCAATTAATTATCTTGATGGATGAAATCAACTTTTGTCCTATGCCAATTTAAAAAATATATCACATTATGAAACATAAATGCTTATGGAATGCTGTCTGTCAACAACCAACTCACTTTCCCCACAGTTTTCGGATGCCTTTCTGGTTCTTCTTGTGCTCTGGTGAAACCGGGGACTGTTGACCTGATTCTACTCCAGATGACATTGGCGAAAGGTCAGACAAGGTTGAGTCATCTGTCTTCTCTGTCTTTCCTGTGAACAGAAAGTAATCCACTTGTTTCTGATAGGTTTACGGGTTTCTATGTTTTTATAGGTTCACTATTGGACTGAGTATACATTCTATGTGTACCCACCAACCACAAACTGATCATGCTTTCTCCGCGGCCCTGCGCCAAATATTAGCCATGCAAGAGAGCAGAAGGGAAAAAAGCAAAAACTGACATCACAATGCCATTTTTAGATATGCATTTAAGCTCATAGATTCCAAAAATGTAGAATAATACTTTTATAAAATAGTATTTTTACTGCTGATTAATTAGAAAATAAGAAAATATAACATTTTCCCAGGAAAGAAAGATCTAATATAAATGTAAAGCAGGTAAATCCAATATATGGGTATATAAGTGTATACAATATTACTACTACTATTATTAATAATAATAATAATAATCCATGCCACTGGTACTTATTTTTACTCCTTTTTTCCAAGAAAATAATCAAAATGATTGTTTAACCTTTTATAATATCATTTATTTAATAATGGATCATTCAATTCAATTATATAATAATTGAATAATAATTCAATATTTAGATTATATACACTGTACATTTATTTATAATATATAGATATAAATGATAATAAATCAAGACTTTGAATAATAACCATACAAAGCATGGTAAATGCTCATAAAAGTTTCTGGATATTAACAGTAGACTTTTGTATATGAAACCTAAATGGATTTTTCCTTATTCCTTTTTTCCATATACAGCACATTATATTTTCATCACATGGCACCAGTTTAAACTCAAAGTAAAGCAGCAAGGCTCACATAAACGAAGTCTAATCTCTGAGAGGAGAGGAAGAGAGTGTGCTTTCAGCTTTATAGAATCAGGATAGGAGAGCTTAGGTTAAATCCAATGTGACACAGCAAGTGTATGCTCTGTGGTCGCATGCTAACGTGAGATTGAGAGGACAATACCTAAAGCTGGAGCGCTGGCGCTTCGGCAGCGATCTTCACATGGAGTGAGAGAGGGGAAACGTGTGCAGAGACAGCCACACAGCCCGAGAGATGGATTAGTTCGAGAGAAAGAGTAAAGAGAGGATACACAGAAGCCCATGCAAAGACACCGTAGTGTTAAAAAAAGCTGTTATGGTTGAAAAGCTTTGAGCTTGGAAAATGAAAAAGCATACAAGCACGGTCAAATATGACTGAGGTTACAGTGTTAAGAAGGTCAAAGGTCACGGTATAAAACAAAATTATGGGTGTGTCCGAAAGATAAAAAAAATTTATTTAAATGCATATACACATATTTATAATTGAATATATTAGGACTCAATTTCTAGCCAGAAATAAACATTGTACATTTACAGTCAGCTGACGCTTTTATCCAAAGCGACCTAAAAAAGCAATATATGTCAGAGGTCACACAATTCTGGAGCAACTAGGGGTTAAGGGTCTTGCTCAGGGACACACAGCGGATTTGAACCAGGGGTGTAACGATACCCTCATGTCACGATTCGATACATATCACGATACTGAACTCACGATACGATATTATTGCGATAATCCAAGACATATGGTAAAAGGTTAACAAAAAATGTACTGCTGATTAAAATGCTAAATTTTATTTTACATTGTGGGTTTAAATGAATAGGCTTGGACTTGGTGCTTGTAACCCAAGGAAAACAAAAATTTTCATGATTCTGAAGCTGAAAATACAGAATTATTTTAAGTATTATTTTAAATATTTTTTATTTAAATTTTGATTTTTTTTATTATTTTAAGTATTGTTTTTATTAATACTTGCACTCTTTCACTGGCTAGATACATTTAAAATAATTTAGGACACTTTTAACTGGGAACATCAGACATTGCATTATTATACATTATAATCAACATTATATATAGTAGTTTAATGTACTATTGACACTAAAACTCTGAAAAGTTGATTTTTTTCTCACACAGTCATTTTTATTTTGGGGGGACTATCCACGATACATATTGTTGCGTTTTTGTATTGCGATATACAGTATTGTGGCACAATATATTGTTACACCCCTACACCAAAGGCATGTGTCTTATCCACTGCACAATCACCACCCCAATTGTAGATCACTTATATTTGCTTTCAAACACAACCCATGTAAAAAATGATTCTGACAAGGAATTGTGGGTGCTGTGAGACGATTGCTTACTTAGGTTGAATTCACTGTCTTCACTTTCATCAGGAGATAGCTGTAGTGGGGAAGACGCCAGGAGTCTCACTCCATTCTGCTCTGGATGACTAAACTTGCCCGGGAGCGTCTGGTATTTGTTATTTTCTTGATTATATCGGTTCTGCAGAAGAAATGTATGTATCTTAGTGATTCGCTATTTATCATAAGATTTTTATGTTAATACAGAATGAGTATATTCATTATATTAACCATATACATTTATAATAATTACAATCAGCTTTAGAATTTAATGAAAAATGATACATGATATAATAAATAACACATTTTATTAGATTAACTATAACGAACACTACAATCTGGTGTAAGTGTTTTCTTGTTAATAAGCCAGGCAAACAAAAAGAAAAGCAAATGTAATGTTAATTAATGCATTCAGCAAAGGCTATTGTGGTTATGTTTGCTTTAGCTTTGTTGGTTCATGTTAGCTTGTAGTACCTCTAAAACAGCCTCGACTGGTTGGCCCACTACATGCTTAAGAAAAACCAACAGCATACACTCAGTTAAATGTGTTAAAACATACAACAAAGCATTATTGTTAATGTAAATCTAGTATTAGAGAGATTTGAGTTGAGCTGAGAGATTCATACTAAAAGCATGTTAATGAGATGAGTTAGTTGGCAAGAGTCACAATTATTTAGAACAAAACGATTCAGATTTTTGTACCATCTGTAAGCTTCCACTTTGGAGCTCTTCCAAGCTGGTGGACAGCATTCGCTGCATTGACCTGAAAATAAAACCATGAACAATTATTTCAAACAAGCTTGGGGAGTTAGAACATCTCATTGGTCCAGGTTATCATGGACAAACAAATGTTTACACTGGAAGCACATACTGTATAGTACACATGGTTACAAAACAAAAGATGACTGAAAATAGAAGGTCAAGAACCAAAAACATCATGAACTAACTTTATATGTAGCCTAAAACATTCTCATATTAAAAAAGTGATGATTAAAATGATAACTATGATTTATCAGCAAATTAAGCCCAAATGAAAAAAAAAAAAAAAAAACATTTTCAAGGTGACAATGACATTTTTCCAGTCAAATTTAAATTTAAAACGCAATTAATGATTTTACATTTGAAATCTCAAGGCAAGACTGGATTATTAAATTATGTGGAAAAACAAACCTTGCATTTTTTAATAATTTCTTTCGCAATTTCGAAAAAAGCAAGCTCTACTATGCATACACTACAATTTTTGTTTAAAAGAAAAACTGATTTTATTTACTATGGATGCATTAAATGAATAAAAAAAATATCACATGTTACAAAAGATTACAGTTTTAAATGTTCTTTTGAACCTTCGATTTAATTTTTCTAGTTGCTAAAATACTGCAAAAAAAACAATACATCTAGAAACAGACTGTTTGGGAGGGGACAATGTCTTAATATAATTACATACACCAGAGGTCCAATTGGAAACCTCAGTCATCCTAGACTAGAACGATGTGTGTAAACAGTGTGTGTGTGGCGTATGGCAATAACATCACAACAAAAAGCCACTGCTACATTACAAAAGGCTCTTAAACACGCACAAGCACACACACTGCACTTGCCATTGTCTGCTGTAAAAGCCCAAATCGCCAATGGATACCATCGAGGTCTCCATGGAGGGCTGTATACTGTGACAGCTGGGCCGGAGAAGGATAGAATGGGATGGAGTGCAAGGAAGAGAGATAGAGGTGACAAAATCACATTAGCTTGGGTGAACGATTGGGACAGCGAGTTTGCAGCAAAATGGTCCTTCTCCCACAGATGCCTTTAAGTAAAGCATCCCACTGAGACTCTGCTATCATCAGTGTACTGTTAATAACACAACCTCTCGCTCACCTGGAGTCCAGTTCCCTCTGAGGACACGGAGGAGAGACCAGGAGTGGCGACGGGCCTCGGGAAGACATCTATGCAGAGGAAAATAAATAGAAATTGTCATTGGGAGCAACAGGAATAAAAAAACCTAACTAAAGTTGAATAGAAATATGGACCAAATGGGATAAAATCTTTGCTTTTGGATTTTATGTTTCCCCAGAAGTTCACTTATAATGTTAAGCAAGGTTTCTTGTACCAAAAATCATAATGTAGTTTTTCCACAATCATTTTACTCCTTCACTCTGACAATGTCAAATTAAACTGACAATTTCTAATAGACATACACTACATTTTTTAGGTCAGTAAGGATGCATTAAATTGATCAAAAGTCAGAGTAAAGATATTATAATGTTATAAAAAAAGACTTCTATTTTAAATAAATGCTGTTCTTTTGAACTATTTATTAAAGAATACTGGAAAAATAACATATGGTTTCTACAGTTTGATAATACTGTTTTCAACATTGATAATATGAAATGTTTCTTGAGCAGCAAATCAGCACATCAGAATGATTTCTTAGAGCTTTACCATCACAGGAATAAATTACATAATTTTAAATTATAATAATATTTTCACAATATAACTATATTTTGATCAAATATGCAGCAATAATGCAGCATTGGTAAGCATAAGAGACTTCTATATAAAACTACTATTGCTTCATTTCTTCATGTAAAACTACACAGTCAATTGATATGAAAACACGGACAGTCTTATGTGACATTGTAATGATTTCTGAACTGTTTGACTGAATTAGAAAGGGAAGCAAGAATCGAGTTTTTCCTGATATAACCCCTTTGAAACATCACCTGCAGTTCTGATCTGATGATGTCCGAGTACACCCTATGGGTCAGGGCTCTTATTTTTCGGTTGCCAGATAGATCCTCTTCACTGCTGCCAGAAAGCAAAGTATCGTTGGTCACTGAAGGGAGAGAGAAACAGAATCAGCTTCAGCTATGATTCGGGTCACATTCATCGAGCAAAGGTGACTAAAACATTGAAGCGGCAAGATGGCGTTTAAGGCAAAGGTTGTCCAACAAATAAACACGTACTTTGAGAAAGGGCCAAGCCTTCCTTCAATTTTCTGTACTGGCCCAAAAGAACATTGAGTTCGTCTATGTGGCGATCCTAGAGAAACAAGATGGAGTAAATGTTCAGTCCATCAGCAAACCACTGGAAATGTTACAAGTTGCATGTTGCTTCCTGCAGATTTTGTTAAGAAATCCAAGTGCACAGATGCTGACGTACCTTTTCATTATTGGCAGCTATCAGCGTCTCCATTCCAGTTTTTAACCGCTGTAACTCTTGATCTGGAACATAAAGAGAAAAACTCAATTCATATGCATTTATGGTAAGCTACTTTTAAATTATGAGTAGCGTTACAGCATTCAATATACTGTAGTTAAACTAGAAGCAAGCCACACTGTAGAAACTTAAATGGATATCTTTCTAGATATACATGTATGTATTTGCTAGAATTCTCAATTTAATCAGAGACACATTTTTCGGACAAACAAACAAAGATTTCTAAGCAGACAACATAACATTTGAACAGGAAAATTGACACCAAATACAATAATAAAAACTAAAAAACTAAAATGCCCCCTGATTTGCCATACAGAAACATAGTAAAGTGCAACAGATTTAACTGAATATTCCTCTATGCAAGAAAAACGTTTATGACAAATCGATTCAATAGAATCAGACTTTGATTCACAAGAATTAACTGAATCTTTCTGAGCTACAGTCAGGCTAAAAGAAACCGCTACTTTTAGTTGGCGACTACTCAAAACATAATTATGGTGACATACTCCATTTAAAAAACACACAGATGATGTTGAGGTAAACCAGCCCTCTACGAGAGAAAAAAAAAAAACAGCCACCTTGGTCAAGCGTCAGTCCAAAAAAGCTCAAAGACATACTGGTCTTTCTGAAGGTTTGTCAGGAGAATTAGCAGGCAGGTGAAAGACTCTTTTAAAATAAAAAGTGTGTACATGCTTGTCCAGGTTGATGCATGCTTTTTAGCCAAGCAGTGATTTACTCTGAGACTTCATAGCAGAACCTCATGCTTAAAGAAAAAACTGACATGATAATCAATCTCATCCTGCAACATTAACCTTGTTAGAGCTGGCTCACACAACCTCAGCTAAATCAGCAGCTAACCAGCTACCAAGTTACAAAAAAAAAAAAAAAAAAAAAAAAAACAGATTAGTTTATTATTATTATATAATCATTCATATCACACATATTCATTTTAGTAAATTAATATAATATATATTTATACAATAATTATTACATTATAAAATATATTTTCTATTAACAGTTTTAAATTATGTAAAACTGTATATTCAACATGACAAATGGATTATACATAAAAACAGTAAACTATATTTTATAATATAATGGGACCAATGTACTTAACCCTCATGTGGTGTTCGGGTCAATTTGACCCGGAGAAGATTTTCTTTTTCCTAAAAATACTAGTTAATGTTATCGCTTTAGACTGAAACTTAGTGACTTTGTTCCCAAGCGGTATAACTATATCTCATTTGTTTTTTGAACATTTTCGTATTTTTTTGTGGGAGTTCTGTTACCTTGTTACACTTGTGGTGTTCCCGGTCAAAAATGACCGGTCTATAAAAAATAGCTTATAAATCACTCATTATACCATATTTTCACCCAATCTTGGATTCAATCTTTTTGTCAACTTGTTCTCTTTCAATTAGGACTGGTTTTATATTTCTGTTTGAATCTGATTAATCGTGGGCCTCATTTATCCGAGAGTAGGCATCTCATTTTTTGAGTAAAAAATAAATAATTTATGAATAAATTTGGGAATATGAAATTTTTTTTTGAAAAAAATGGCTACTGTTTATCACTCTAGTCTACTCTAATGATTTACCAGGAATTTTGTTTTGAAACTTTTGTTTTGTAAAAAATATGGAACATAGTCACACTTGTGGTGTTCCCGGTCAAAAATGACCAGCCTATAAAAAATAGCTTATAAATCACTCATTATACCATATTTTCACCCAATCTTGGATTCAATCTTTTTGTCAACTTGTTCTCTTTCAATTAGGACTGGTTTTACATTTCTGTTTGCATCTGATTAATCGTGGGCCTCATTTATTTGAGAGTAGGGAAGGTAAAAAATGGTCACAATGGGCGACCATTGAAAGTGAATTGGAGAGACTGAAAATAACAGAACAATTTAGTTTTCAGGAGCGTGTTCATTATTTTCATGTACACATATGAGCATGCATCGAGCCCTTGGACCTGTGCATGTATCGATACATTTATACTGTACACACGCATCCCAGACACACACGCGTTAAAACACACAAACTTTGAGTATTACACACATTCTTTTCCACAGAGAGAAATTTGATTCTACCCTAACCTGCATCTAATATACATTTATCCATCTGACATTACCACACACACACACACACACACACACACACACACAAACTGGCCGTGACTGCAGTGATCCGGCTTCAAAATAATCTTTCTTTCATGTTCTTGTTTCATCACAGCTTCCAGAAAAAATATTATGACATTTTGTTTTGGAACTGTGAGGTTCTCACCATAGACAGTGGTTCTCACACAGAACTAGACAATATTTACAAATATACATCATGTGATCGCACAGGCATATATAAATGCCTCACAGCACCTTGCTTGTCATTCATTTGTGGCAGCACAATGGCAAAGCAGCTCTCTGCCCATTTTGTTATTCATCAGATTTTTGACTCAGAAAATAGTGGGGAGGATCATTTCTCTCTGCGGAAAAGAATGTGTGTAATACTCAAAAAAGCTTGTGTGTTTTAACGCATGTGTGTGTGTGTGTCTGGGTAACGTGTGTATAAATGTATCGATACATGCACAGGTCCAAGGGGTCGATGTTTGCAAGCACACATGCTCATATGTGTACATGAAAATAATGAACATGCTCCTGAAAACTAAATTGTTCTGTTATGTTTTCAGTCTCTCCCATTCACTTTCAATGGTCGCCCATTGTGACAATTTTTGACCATGCCTACTCTCAGATAAATGAGACCCACGATTAATCAGATGCAAACAGAAATATAAAACCAGTCCTAATTGAAAGAGAACAAGTTGAAAAAAAGATTGAATCCAAGATTGGGTGAAAATATGGTATAATGAGTGATTTATAAGCTATTTTTTATAGGCCGGTCATTTTTGACCGGGAACACCACAAGTGTGACTATATTTCATATTTTTTACAAAACAAAAGTTTCAAAACAAAATTCCTGGTAAATCATTAGAGTAGACTAGTGTGATGAACAGTAGCCATTTAAAAAAAAAAAAATTCATATTTCCAAATTTACTTATAAATTATTTATTTTTGACTCAAAAAATGAGATGCCTACTTTCAGAAAAACGAGGCCCACGATTAATCAGATGCAAACAGAAATATAAAACCATTCCTAATTGAAAGAGAACAAGTTGACAAAAAGATTGAATCCAAGATTGGGTGAAAATATGGTATAATGAGTGATTTATAAGCTATTTTTTATGGGCCGGTCATTTTTGACCGGGAACACCACAAGTGTGACTATGTTCCATATTTTTTACAAAACAAAAGTTTCAAAACAAAATTCCTGGTAAATCATTAGAGTAGACTAGTGTGATGAACAGTAGCCATTTTTTTCAAAAAAAAATTTCATATTTCTAAATTTACTCATAAATTATTATATTTTTTACTCAAAAAATTAGATGCCTACTCTCTGACAAACGAGGCTCACGATTAATCAGATGCAAACAGAAATATAAAACCAGTCCTAATTGAAAGAGAACAAGTTGACAAAAAGATTGAATCCAAGATTGGGTGAAAATATGGTATAACGAGTGATTTATAAGCTATTTTTTATGGGCCGGTCATTTTTGACCGGGAACACCACAAGTGTTATAGGGTTTTGAACACCACATGAGGGTTAATATAGATTTTTTTAATATTATATTATTTTTTATTCTATACTTTATTATGATATACATTTATTAAATATATATTTAACATCCCATGTAATAGGATTATATACAAGAATACATATATTGTATATTCAAGGATTTCAAAAAACGAAGTCAAATATCACTATAATATAATGAGGCCGATGTACTTTATATGCTCTTATATATATATATATATATATATATATATATAGTATTCATAATATTTGGACAATTATGTAGTATATTTAACATATACAAATTACTACATATAAAGGTCTTTTCTCACACTAAGATGACTGCGTAAGACTTGAGTCAATAAAATACATTCACTACTGAGGTGTTAATAATTGCACAAATTATAAGATTAGCTGCTTAGTGCTACAATGAAGAATGAAGTTCAGCAATATACACTAGCTGTGAGGTGATTAGTTGATTCAACATTTCTTTTCTCTGAACTGGCCATGGCCCTAGCCCTACATAAATAGTAAAGGATGAGTTAGCTCATAGACCCATGGGAAAGCAATGAGTGGCTGCAGGGTGTGACGACAAGCATGAATCAGACACTTAACAACCCCTCTGCGCACACACACACACACACACACACACACACACACACACACACACACAGGTAGCCACTGAGGAGATGTGTGCGACAGGCTTGACAGCATGCCAGTGTACATTAGCCAGATTGACAGAGAGACTCTGAAGGGCAGTTGAATCAAGCTGGGGTACAGCATGAGAGGATCTGAGATGTTTATCTGAAATGTGTGCGCTTACGTTTGTCTCTCAGCTTTTTCTTATACACTTCCTCTACAACAGGGAGCGTCGAAGACCAGAGGCCACAGTGATTACCAAAAAAAGCCACATGTTAGTAATTTCAACACTCACATGAACATTTTCCAACACACACACACACCGTCACTCCCATGCAGCTAGTTTTTGGAACTTTCCACAAACGGGGAACATTTTTAAGTGAACTAACCATTTAATTTTTATCGTATAAAACACAAGTAATTTAAACAAATCAGGGCTTAAATTTCAGGCCTGTTTTTGTTGCCTGTTCATGGAAAAGGCCATTTAGTAATGTAATGTTAAATTATTCTGGGTTAAGGCCTTGTAGCACTTCAACAACCGTTATGATTTAATCTTCTTAGATGTACCTCTCTCTGTGATGTCATTGTTGATGGTTCCTCGGGACAGAAGCTGACTCTGTAGACACTCGATTTCTGCATCTTTCGTAGAAAGCAGCTGCTGGAGTTTGGCAATCTCAGTCTAACAAAAACGAAACACTTTAGCAGATTAGCACCTTTCAAAAGATGGTGAAAACGTCAGAAAGACAACAGGGCACACATTTTCCAACATTATGGTGGATATTCAAAATGGATTTAATCACATTAATGCTTTTTGGGAGAACAGAAGAATCTAACATTGACAACACAAATGTGACAGTCAGGCACAACAAGGATATAATAACCTTCACCGTTTTGGGGGGCGAAAAACGGCACTTTCACACATAACACTCACTAAATCATCACAAAACAGAAAGAAAAGTAACGAAACCACACAACCAAGCAAACACTTTCTGTGTTTGCAGCATATTGATACCATTTACAACCATTCAAAATGCCAGCAGAACTCCCTAAATATGACTTCCCAGAAAACACAAGCAGCTATGCTGGGATTACAGTAGGCTACATAGTTGAATAAAATAATTTTTTTTATTTTAAACATTCTAGCAAGCACACAGATTTTCGACTCGATTTACATCAGCTTGAAGTGATTACATGTACGTCATCCCCATCAGAAGTTTGAGACTGGCTAAAAACTCTGGCAGCAGACTCAGAGGATACTAAATGCTCAAATGTTAGCAAATAACATCATCAATAGCACGATAAATAAACATTGGTGTATCTATATGGTGAGCGAATCCGTTTATATCGCCATGTTGAATTGCTCAACCCTCATTCCCCAAGACAGACAGACCCAACAATCTGCTGGAGGATGTAGTCATGCATACCTCAACTAATACGCAAATACTCAAACATACACATGCTTCTTCCATCAATGAGCACGAGGCTAACACAGATGGATGATCTCTAGTAGCCCATCCACTCATACGGTATGCTTGCCCTAGATTGCTTGCTTCCACACATAATGTGGTTTAAAAGATTGCCACTAGACCATGTAGAGCTCGCTCTTGAGAGCAATAGTAAGCGGTCTAAAAAGGTCAACATTAAGTTAAGAGCTGGGGATCATGAAGCTGCAAGATTATTTCACAAAACTACACAGTGCATGCAAAAAGCGTGTCAACAATGGACCAAGTAAATCAATTACATAAATCAGGGGCGTTCAATTTTGCTCCTTGGAGGGCTACCTTTCCTGCAAAGTTCAGCTCTAACATACCACCCTGAAAGTTCCTTAAGACCCTGATTAGCTGGTTCAGGCGTGTTTAAATTGGGGTTGCAGCTAAACTCTGCAGGATGGTTGCCAGGATTAAACGTCCCTAATCTAAAAATATTGTAGGTGGAAGAGGGTTCAAGAGACACAGAGACTGGGGTTCAGACTGGGAGCTCAGAGAGGCATAACAACCAAAGGAGTGGATATTTTCAAGGAACCATGAAAAAGCTCGATTGAAAACGTAGACCTCCAAGTCCAGAGTTGAAAATGTTATGAAATCGACCCTGTCCAAAATGGCACTTCTGAAGCAAATTTGCAGCCTTCATTTTTTTTAGTCTCCCTGTAGTCCACGAGACATTATGGTGTCCCATTTTGTGATTCAAGAGGGTACTTCCCAATGAACCTTGAAGGAGTCTATAGCAATCTCTATAGCAGTGTTATCCAGCTACGCTACATTAAACTGTGGACGCAAGTACTGAGGGTGCCATTTTTGGACAGGTCCATCATCACCCTCTCCTTTGTGTCATACTCCTCAGGGAGGATGGCAAGGGATAAGGAGTGGGAGTTGGGTTTAAGCACCTGAGCTGTCCGACAGCGCTCCTCCCAATGCTGTCGTTCTACCTGAGTGTGCTCGACCGTGAGCTTCAGGGTAGAAAGTTTGGTCATGAGCGACTGGTAACAGACATGGAGGGAATAGGTGATAGAAAGCTGGAGGAAGAGAAAGCCAGAGGGATGTTCATTATGCTGAGAGCTTAAGAATTTGTGAGTGCAATGAACTAAAGAGTCCAATTAGTATGCATAGAATAGTTAAAAGATCGAAGAAAGAAGTTGCATTGAGAGTTTGCATTTGGGTTTAAGCCAATATGGCTAAAGAGACTGTTAGTAAATGCTGATGGTTCATGATGAAAAAAATCAAAACCGCAAGAGCAACAATTGTAGACTGAAGGCTAACAGGAGTCCAGATTAAATATACAGAACATTACCTTTGTGGCTTTGAGCTTCCTCTCATATTGCGATTTCTCTCCTTCCAGTTCTTCAACTTTGCTCTTAAAAAGGCGAAGCTCTTGTAGCAATGCCTAAAGAATGAACAAAAGCAAATAAGAAAAAAAATCACACATTACCTTTTGGTGGCACATTTCCTACCCCTTCGGCAGCAGCTATCTAAGGTACGGAGCCCCTAAATTGACTTTGTAGAAAAAATGAAACCCCAAGATTTACTTGTACATGTGGAAAAATATTCTTGCGCACACTCGAAAGTTCCAGGGGCTTTTCCCATACGAATTTCACTTTAGGGGCTCTGCACTAAGATCATCCAGAGGAGAGGGTTTGGACTGACCCATGAAACCCACACACCGTGCAGTTAAATACAAGAAAGCTCCGGAGATTCCTGGGAAACCTTGTTTCTTAAAACGATGCCTTGGCTCCTCAGAAACTGACAGAACTGATCAAGGAGGAAACATCTAATAGGGTCACCACTAAGCCCACAACCCTTCTGGAAGCTCTCTGGAACTACTCAGCAACCGTTAGCGTTAGTGAGCATCAATCATGCAGGTTTAAACCCAAAATAAATGTCATTCTTTCATCAGAACACACTGCAAACACCATGAGATTCCCACAGTGGAGCCCACAGACACATTGGACACTGTAGGAAGAGGCAGTTAGAAGTAATTCCTGTTGGAGTGTCCAAAAGTGAGACGGGGGAATGGTTAAGTTTTAGGGTAGAGCAAAGCGGTAAAAGAGGGTCTTGAAGTAAATCCACCATGTAATGGAGGATCTGCCTACATTCTCTCCTCCGCTTCTACAGCGGCAGCTGCATTCCTCAGCGTCCGAGGCACCAAGGCCCACATCGGGGCTCTGGTCGAGAGCCTCGCGCGTGCTACAGTCCCCCATGCTCTCCAGGGCCCTCTGCTCCTGAATGCGATTGCTGATTTCCTCCTGGAATTTACACATCTGCTCCTGTAGTTCACTAATTAGATTAACCACACTCTGAGAGAGCAAAAACAAGAAAGCCAGAAAAAGGAAAATGTTGATCAGATTTGGAAACAAAATTATGAATAGACATAGATGGTTTTGTGATTAATCTGGGTTCTCTGAAAAGGCATATTCATTCTTTGGCTTTGTGGAATTGAAGCCAGTTTTAGTATCTAATAAGTCACATGTCCATTACAGACAAGTTTTTCCAGGGTTAGGTTTCTTGGCCTTGTGGAGTTATTTTAATAATATTAAAATCTTAAAACACACATTTTCAAACTGTCCTACAGTATATACATAGGCTATACACCACAATAGGATTGCCGTTTTATTTTTCTGAAACTAAATGTAGTGTTATTTCCATCAACCAATGTATTTATTAGCACTGTGATATGAAATGGAAATATTTTTTTTCCAACCTAAATCTATAAAGTCTATACATTAAAGGCATTCAAGTGAACCCCTCTCCATGTTGCCAGAATTATATGTACTTTTTATGTTTTATGCTTGAAACAATGCCCCTTTGTATAAATAGTAAAGGTGATGATGGGACCAGCATTGTGACCTCTTTGCCAGAGTAAATAAGTTAACTGACTTACTAATTTTACAGAATGGTCTCTTTCTGGGGACCAAGCTACTGTATTTTCTGAGATAAAATGCAGATGCTTGTGATTAAAATAAAATACTTTTTGGGACAACATTGGGAGTAAATCTCTAATTCTTAATCAAAACTGAGATATATAACAGTACTGTGCACCGATTACGAGATTTAACTTCAGCCATGAGCATGTTAATGTTCGGTTTGTTTTTCACTTGAACAAGTGAATGATTAGTCAGACTAAATGCAGTCAGCAAGAGGAAGTTTCATATGATATTCCCCATTGATGCTAAAGCCGATGATAAGGCACACGTTCCACGCCTATATTTAGCTCCATGCTAAAGGTTTGTGAGTGGGGGAGATGTCTGTGGTGAAAGTGTATGTGACTGTGGTATGTTCAAAGTGAATTTCATCCATTCTGAATGGAGCCTTGCAGCTGTCACCTTTGAGGCCAGTGTTTGTTGATGCAACAAATGCAAGGAGAGCTCAGTTACCCCAACACTAAGAGTGTGAGGTGACGCTTAAAAAAAAAAAAAAAAGAATGATTTACAAAATTTAGTCATTACCCAGAAAACCTAGAAATTTCATTAACCAGTCACAGATTATGCACACTATTTTGTAATAAGCTAGATTTGAAAAAAATGCGATTAATCTCCCCTTGTATTGAAGGCCTAAGTTTCCTTAGCTGTGTGTCCAGTATTGTCTATATTAGCGTCTAAGGTTAATGTGGTTGTTTATGTTTTCTCCAGGGAGTATTCGGTGTAGATTTAATAAAAACTGTTTTGTTTCCCTATTCCTTTGATTATGCGCTACAGACACAGCGTGACAACTAAGTTACAGTATCTGTTTGTTTTCATATCATATCCATATCTTAGTAGTTTTTTTGACTGCTACATATTTTCAAAATCGACTTGTCTAAAAAATGTCTAAATATTAAATGTAAAATGTATGTGCGGTGCCCTAAAAACGGAACAAGCTACATGCATTTCAGCTGCCATTAGCAGCCTTTTCTTTCCGTTTCACTTCATTTCTAAAGGTGAATGACACCCATTGCAGATATGTGTTAAAAACCGTGTGTGTGTGTGTGTGTGATGTGTGCTGCTGAATTCTCATCAAGACAAGCACTGAGCACTTCTGTCGTCTGTCATTTCACGTTCATCAAACTGCCTGTCACTGTCTCCCATTTAGGCCCACCGCATGCTTTTGTGTCTCTACCGATTAACATCTTCCTTTAACAGTGCATTGCCTTTTTGGCACTGGGAGCATTTGTGGGACATAGGTTTTGAGTGTGTGTGTGTGTGTAATTGTCTGTGCATGTGTGTACATATCGTTAAATCATGTTTCTGTAAGCACACTGTCAGTGTGGAAAAGCTGAGTCTGTGTGATAGCCCCACTCAAACGATTGATGAAGACATAACAATGAAACATCTATGGGCTCACATTTCTTCCCATTTTATCATCTCTTTGAGTCCTTGGTATACTGTACCCACCTGAAATATAACACCAGCAAAATGTTCACATACTAATAAAAAATAAAAAAGCACTCAAAGAGGTAAATATCTTGAGATGAGGATACCCAGACAAATGTATATTCATTCACTATGAAAATTCCCATGATTTTAAGTTTCTATTCATTTCAATGATTATAATTTGCTCTGTTTTTTTGCTGGTTTTCCCATAGCTGTGGGAAACCTGTCCACTTGGTGTCTTGGAATATGCTTTGAAAAAGGAACCTTCCAATTTTAAGTCAGGAAGCCAGAGATTTAGTCTGTTCAAGAAAAATAAAGCTCAGGACAGATGCTCTTTTAAAGCGTTATGGTGTTTTTCTGAGTCTCTGTTTAGTCTGTTGTCTATACACAGGGTGTACCTCGGGGAGTCCTATAAGTAATTAGGTGTTAAGAGGTGATAAATCTACAGGATCCACATATACACACACTACAACATAAACATGCCACCATGACTTCCCTGTCCTCTAGTTATGTTTCCATGTGCCATTTGGAAACATCAGATTAAATATCAGCTCATATTTTGAGCATGTTTACTGTTCTTGTATTTCAAGATTGGGCTCTTCATAACCACAATATATATATTGTCTGATATCAGATTCTCTTCTCTCCAACATCGCACTTTTTGATTAATATATTTATATATTTATAATATTTGAATATATATTAATAAGTATTAAACCACACATATACTGACATGGCTGATTTCTGTGTGTGTGGTTTCAATTGAATTAGAGCCAACAGGTGGACAGCAAAGACACAGGAACAATGAAAAAGGCGATTATAACAATCTCTTAATCAGGACACCTAAACCAGTATTTCACTTGTTTAAATGTTCACTCACAAATTAATATATATATATGAGAAACACACCACACAACTTATAATAACAATATTCAGTTTTTAACATTCATACTTAATAAAGATGAAATTAAACTAAATATAATTATTATATAAAAATATGCCTTGCCAACTAACTGAAAACAAACTAAAACCTAAAATCTCAGCAAAAAAAATAAAATAAAATAATTAGAAATGCATTTAATAACATTAAAAAGTACAAAACAACAAATTAAAATTAAAATGTAAAAAAAAAATTAAATAAGAAATACTAAGAAATATAAAAATCTATCCAAAATCAAAATATTAATAAAAACTACAATAATAAATATTACATTGACAGTACATTAGTTTTTGCTTTAAAAATAAAATTGGTATCGAGAATTGTGAAATTACTGCATACAATATATTGTGACATCCTTACAAGACAGACCATAAAAATAGAGGAAGCAAACAACTATAGGATTAAACCGTAGTTAAAAGAACAACGTTAATATGATATTATTCAAGTAACCTCATATAATGGATGAACCTGTTGCCCTGTATGAGCCGTCAGTTTGATAACGTACCTCGGCTTTATGATGTTTGTTCTCTTCATCTATGTGGTTGTGTTCTTCCTCCATGCCGACAAGCTTGAGTTTCAGATAAGAAACTTCATCCACCAGTTCCAGTTTCTGCGTCTCCAGCGAGGTTCGGCTGAAGAGCTCCTAGAGCAGACGCACACATGTTAGCGAACACATGGTGACACACAAACACACCCACACAGTTGTACTGTATACAGTAACAATCCCACGGCACAAGGTCGGCTCCTCGTTGCTCCACTGCCCAAGTTCTTTCACAGAAACGCTTGGCCAAAGCTAAGCGCCGCTAAATATACACAAGCAATGAACGCTATTTTTACTTCCTCACCCTCTCTGGTGCCTGTATGTGAGAAAGTCAGGAGGGCCAAAAGAGGGAAACATCGTTTCTCAGCATTCCTGATACGATGGGCTAAATTCAGCAGGGCTCTGAGAACCTTGGCTTACCAGCATTTTAAAAAGCCAAAAAGGTCACAAATAATATGTGCACATATTAACCCCCAGATATCAGATGAAAATATCATGGTACAATAATCAACCAATCACATGGCAGTTGCTTCAATGCATTTAGGGGTGTGGTCCTGGTCAAGACAATCTCCTGAACTCCAAACTGAATGTCAGAATGGGGAAGAAAGGGGATTTAAGCAATTTTGAGAGTGGCTGTTGGTGCCAGACGGGTCGGTCTGAGTATTTCACAATCTGCTCAGTTACTGGGATTTTTACGCACAACCACTTCTAGGGTTTACAAAGAATGGTGTGAAAAGGGAAAAAAATCCAGTATGCGGCAGTCCTGTGGGCGAAAATGCCTTGTTGATGCTAGAGGTCAGAGGAGAATGGGCCGACTGATTCAAGCTGATAGAAGAGCAACTTTGACTGAAATAACCACTCGTTACTCGAGGTATGCAGCAAAACATCTGTGAAGCCACAACACACACAACCTTGAGGCGGATGGGCTACAACAGCAGAAGACCCCACCAGGTACCACTCATCTCCACTACAAATAGGAAAAAGAGGCTACAATTTGCAAGAGCTCACCAAAATTGGACCGGTGAAAACTGACTGAATGAAAAATGTTGCCTGGTCTGATGAGTCTCGATTTCTGTTGAGACATTCAGATGGTAGAGTCGAATTTGGTGTAAACAGAATAAGAACATGGATCCATCATGCCTTGTTACCACTGTGTAGGCTGGTGGTGGTGGTGTAATGGTTTGGGGGACGTCTTCTTGGCACACTTTAGGCCCCTTAGTGCAAATTGGGCATCGTTTAAATGCCACGGCCTACCTGAGCATTGTTTCTGACCATGTCCGTCCCTTTATGGCCACCATGTACCTCCTCTGATGGCTACTTCCAGCAGGATAATGCACCATGTCACAAAGCTCGAATCATTTCAAATTGGTTTCTTGAACATGACGATGAGTTCACTGTAGTAAAATGGCCCCACAGTCACCAGATCTCAACCCAATAGAGCATCTTTGGGATGTGGTGGAACGGGAGCTTCGTGTCCTGGATGTATCAGTATGGGCCAACATTAGTATGGGCCAACATTTTAAAAAATGCTTTCAGTACCTTGTTGAATCAATGCCACGTAGAATTAAGCAGTTCTGAAGGTGAAAGGGGGTCAAACACAGTATCAGTTTGGTGTTCCTAATAATCCTTTAGTTAAGTGTGTATGTATATATGTATATATATATATATATATATATATATATATATAATCATGTAAATATGGTCGACCTCTTCCATATTTGTTTATTAAATAGTTTGGCCAATTTCTTAATACCCTCCAAAAAAGATATTCAAGTCAGCAGATTTTGTCTGGTCTCAGTTATGCCTCATACTTCAACCAGAATTACACATAAATGCTCAAACTTAGCATATAAAAACGCACTTACGCTTCCTCTTTCACAGTACAACATCTCCTTTCTAGTTCCTGAAGCAGAATTCAACATTTCATTTCATTCTAACTATCAGAAAACTCAACAGTTACAATAGACAACAGATGGTGAGTTCATGTCTCCAATATATTTCTATATTTCTAAAATCCATATTCTCTTAATTAGCTGAATCTAATAGATGTGTGAATGGCAATCGAGTCCCAAGCATAGTGATGATGGATGAAAACCACTGAATGCAACACAAACTTCCGTGGTACATTGATTATCTCAGTTCTGGGAAATACAGTGGACATGAGTCACAATGACCAACCAGCAACACACTCATGCAATAGACCGATTAGTCAAGGTAGTGCCAGATTTACTTTTTTTGACAGAAATGACAACAAGGCTGCAAGGGTTGAGAACTGTATTGTTGTTTGCAACATAGACCTAATGATTGTTTCACTGACAAAAGTTAACACAGGCAAAAAAGAAAAACTTTCAGCAGACAAAAACTCCAAAAAACGGTTTTAAAAGTTTTTAAAAATTGTGTGATCTAGGACCTTTAGATCAAATGCTAAAACATGCTATTTTACCATTATTCAGCCCCTTTGACTCCAGGGCCCCTCACTGTCCACAACAACATACAATAAGGCCTTTGTCTCCAGTTGTTTTTGATTTACTGGATAAGGGGATTTTTCCCCCTAATATCTACGTTCATAAAATGTTCAAAAATGTCCATGGAGATGGAGATCTAAGATTTTATTAATTTAAATGAATGTTTCACATCTTAAAAAAACTCACTCTATCACTCTATATAGTCTTCTACTATCTATAAATCATTATTTAAAATATCCTTCAAGTAATGTTAAAGAAAACGGTCATGTCTAAAGCTGTGAGTTTACTTGCACTATCAAGGAAGAAAAACACAGTCTGTCTTTATCTCTCCATCTCTGACATTCCATCTTGATATGATTGTTAGCAAAGCATTCCTGTTATGGAATCCTTAACGTGATCCCAGAAAAAAAAAATATATATATATATTTTTTTTTTTTCTTCATGCATTAAAACAATATTTGGAAAAACATTATATTACAAATGTATTACTGTTATTTACATTATAATGCAACTAATTTATAATAATTTATTTAATAAATAACTTACTGGCAGAAATCCAAGTAAAAAAGTGTCTTAAGTGCAATGAAACTGGACACATTAATCATTTAACCTTTTGTAAACATTGTAACAATGACTCAAATCAGTTCTGTCAGATTTAAAAAAATAATAAAATCCCACAACGGAACCCACAAATAAGCATTTATGAATGCTAAAGGAACATAGCCGTTTCAAAAACAGTACTTTGGAAATGATACTACACAAATACAAGGAACAGTTGCCAGCAAACAGCTACTAAACAAAATGGCTAAACAAGTATGATAACAAAACTACCGGTTTAAGGCAGTTAATCATACAGCAAACAGCAAAACATGTAAATCACAGAGACACTCTTGGATATGAAGGTCTGAAGGTGTCATAATGCCAGGACTGAGTAAACCACATGCATAAATCAAACACACTAAAAAGTCAGACCATTTAATCTGAGTCAGGTCTACACAATTACAACTGAAACTGTTGCAAAACCATAAATTGCTCAAATTCAAGGAGGTAAAAACTCAACACTCCAAAACAGTTTGTCAAGTAAAACCAGCAGGTAGAACATTCAATCATTTTCAACTTCCCTTCCTTACATTCCTCTGATTTCTGCTTGAATCTGAACGTAAAGCTTGATAAATGGTAGAAAGTATATAGTCTTACCTGCTGGAGCATTTCCTCAGTGGAAATGAGTTTGTGGTGATGTTCTTCCAGGGAACTTTCCAGATCTCTGATCTTTTCCCCTTGAGCTTCAACCTGGTCAGTGAGTACACTCACCTAAAACCAACAGACAGCAGACAACGTTCACTCAGGCTAACCTTGAAACCTGGCCAGAGTTTCCCTCTCAGTCCCACCAACAGGTACTGTGTGCTAATGACGATTGCAACACACAGTGAACTCCAAAGTCTAAACAGCAGAGGAATGTGATCCTTAAAATATGTACATCTGGCTTAAAAACGACCATTGCTTAGCCTTGACACACAGCCATGCTAACATGTGAGCCTGCTTGAGTTTCAATTGTTTTGAAAGTGTCCTTTTGTTCAACACTAACTGAAGGACTGCCAACCAGCAGGACAGGTAAAAGGAGAAGAACAACACCTTGAGGGCATTAGGAGCCAATCATGTTCATCAGTGTTTTAGAGCTCGAGACAATCCACCAATCAGAGAGCAAGAAGGGCGGGCATATGGAGATAAGCAACAACTTTTGAAACTTGCTGCAGAGTTAGACAACCTAACTTCTTAAAGGTGAAGTGTGTCATTTTGTAATGGTAAAATACATTCTTATCCCCCTGTTTCATGTGCTGGGACAACTACAAGTAACTTATTTATAGGTTGACCTGTGGCTATGTGGTGGTTTCAAAACATTGCAATGTTTGTTTGTCAAGCAACTTGGAATGGATGATCAAATTGTTTGGAGAGGAGAGGTTTGCCAGTATTTTCAAAGTAATTGGACTTTTTCTGCTTTTGAATACTCTTCTAACAAGCTTGCTAGTTTAGTGTAAACATTACCATAAAGAACAGGTTTGAGCTGATAATGGCTAAACTCACTCTGTGGTGGCTACCATTGTGACTTATCAGCATGTTGAGTAACACCAACCCAACCCTGTAACCTTTCACCAGATTGTCCCATAGCTATGTGATCATTGACCAACCCATTGTGTATTGGACAGGGAGTTGTGTCACCCTGGGCTGGAGCGCGCCAGTGTCACATGTCTATTCGTTCACAGAGACACCACAGTCCCCTGGTTTGACCCTGTGAGGTTTTACAAGCATGTTGGCTAGTTGTCTTCTCATTGTGTTGACATTGTTACTATTATACTGAGCTGAAATGCCTTGGAGGCTTTAGTGAAATATCTCACCTGGAGAACCAGAGACTCTTTGTCCCCTTCTAATCTCGCCAGCCGTTCTTGATAGGTTTCATTGTTGCTCGAGGACTGGAGGTTAACCTGTGGAGACACACACATGCATATGTATTTTTACATCAGAGATGCCATTTTATCTCTTTAAGTGCCTGTTTTCCTCCCAAATGTCCCCTTAATGTAGGTTGTTTCAAGTTGCCCTTGCTTTGTGGGGACATTCAGCTCGCATAGCAAAAACTGAACCACACACAGAAACTGAACGTCAACAGAGAGGTGTGCAAGAGGAGGAGCTAACCTGCTTATCCAGTTTTTTTGAGAATGAATGGCTCACCACCAATGACAGAATAACTACTTCAACGAAGAGTAGTATACAAGCGAGCCAAATGCTTTTGAGAGTTGTAAAGGTGTTAAATGGCACGTTGGCGCCAAAAATGAACTGACAGGTTTGACGTCCCTTCAATGCAAACGCAACAAAGGAGCTCATTGCAAATTAATGAGGACATTTATATAAAAATGGAAAAAGAAACATGTTGATGTGCCCCAGGGTTGTTATGGATGGATGGATGAGTGGATGGATGGATGATACCAATTTAGCATAACAAATTATCATAAGCTGAAAAAAAAAAATAAGATTAGATAAATCTTCTGTCCAGTCTTCAGACTATATCAGCAGAAAACATGCCAGTAAATAAATACACAGCATGCAAGATAGGACACTGTCACTTGTCAGCACTAAGCTAGCACTTGCCACACAGATAATCTCTCTCTTTTAAAAGCTTCTGCTGTGTCCAGGGCTGTCAATTCCTTCTGAGCGCCACAATAAAGCTGTCTACTCAGGTTTTAGCGGCCGACTGCCTGACGGAGTAACAGGGTTAAGCCTGTCTAAAGGCAGTGCTTAGTCTTCACACATAGGCTTTCACTGCATAGTAATTGCAGTTCACAGCAAATTTAAACCGAATGTTCATTTATTTCCTGGGAAACAGGCAGAAAGAAGATAAGAGTTTAATGTGATATCTTTTGATAGTTATGTTTAATACAACGGTTATTTCTGGTTCTCGAATCTGATTGGCTGAGAGCCTTTTCCAGTTGTGCATTATTCGTTTAACCAATTGTATCATTCCACTTGCGGTGACTGTCATGTCGAGCAAATCTACCATATTTTTAATTAATACTACTGTAGTTGTGTCACTAAATGTAGTTTTAAGAGTTTTTTTTAAGCGAGAACGTAAGGCACTAGAGGCTTCTGTATCGTGAATAAGTACAGCACAAACTCTCGTGCCTTATTGCTTACTTATGCAACGGTAAGTTCCAATCCTTGATTCTGGTTGGTCAATGGTTGTGTTAAAATCTACAATCCCGTGAAGAACTGTGAATGATTTAATCGGATGAAAAAACAATGGATATTAATATAAAAAAATAAATTTAAATTTTTAATTATGTATATATTTAGTCATTTAAGAGCATAGGGAGACTGCCAATTCCATATTTCGCAGTGCTTCATGAGGCCGGCCACTAGAGTTCTTTTGGTGTAATTTGTCTATTGCATTTCTCTGATTGGTGGAGATTCTCTGCAGAATCATGGATAATGTAGTTTTTCACCAAGAATGTCACTGTTAAACAATTACAGTATTTTAAAAAATTGATATAATGTAGGCTGATGGTTTCAACAAAAGTATTTACCATCAATTAATAACCTCGTTGATCTTTATACCATGGTCTAGGTGAATATTTGATTCTGATTGGCTGCATTCTGGCGTAACCAGGCAAACAAAGTTCGGTAACACTTCCTTTTACAGTACAGTACTTACAGTGTACTTACCTAGAAAGTACTGGCTAATATAAGGTAAGTACATGGAACAGGGGTAGGTTTAGGGGTAGGTTCAGGGTTAGTACTAGTTATTACCCAGTAATTGTAGTTACTAAAATAAGTACATAGTATTTACATGGGTAACTGGACTGTAAAAGGAAGCGTTACCCAAAGTTCTTGTTTGTAAAAGCTGGACATCGGACAGTTCACGCCTCGTCGCATCCATTAACACCTGACAATGGACACTTCGTCGGGCATTAACAATTACATAATTTATCATTAAATATTATTATCATTAAATTAATAGGATTTTTCTTCCATAACCTGACTGTTGCCATTCAGTGGCACTAGTCCTTCATAAATCACACTTTAGCTTTTAACCTGGAAACCATGACCGTAAACATTAAAAAATAAACAAGAATTTACATTTAACTAAAAAAAAAAAAAAAACTCAGAGAGAGCAACTTTGCCTCATTTTTTAAGAAGTCCACAACACGCACAATCTCCAGTTAATTTAACCTTTAGAGCCGAGTTCACACACAGAGATTCATGATGCTCTCTAGAGCACCGTTTCAATTTATTACCTCACCAGAGATATGTTTATAAGCAAGACAACCCACCAACCCTGGAATTTCCCCATTTTCATGTAACCACTGCCTGTTAACAGAACTGTAAAGGCCTGACATGACTTCAGAGGAGCTCAGAAAGAAACTACAGTGATTATTATTACTCCACTGTCCAAGAATGTATGACAATATTTAGAGTTTTACGATACAAACCCTCCCTGTAATAGTGTAATGCACTCCATTCCTCTTCTAAACCTGCATTTTTTTACAGTTTTTTCTCATGGGGGATAATTACTGTAATTTCTCTCTTACTTTGAAATGTAATGGTTGGTTAAGTTTACCTGGCTTACCGCATAGCGTTTCAAGGCCTTTTGCACTTCAAGAACAGGTGTGCATGCTGGTGTTGTTCATACCCCAAACTTGAATCTGAATTTAACTGCATGATTTACGACCACTAAGAATCAAGTGTTGTGTCAGTGAATGTATTTTTGTGTGTGTTCAAGGGCATGAGCTCAGAATCATTGAAGCTGGACAGGATAAAAAGCGCTTTTGTACTATTGCAAATCACAAGCTCCCGGCACACATCCACACCAGCACAAAGCAGCCTGACGTTTTGAACAACAACAAACAGTTCTACACAAATCCAACCACTCTATATCAGTCTGCTCATCCAAGACAAAGTGCAAGTGCAACAGAAACCGGCGCATCGGTTTGTATTTCATACAAATTCAACTTCTGCCAGGGATAAAATAGGCATATAATAGTTATCTAAAACTAAAATAAACGTTAAACTGAAATAAAATAAAATATTTTTACAAATTAAACATTTTATTTAATCTAGTTCCCAAAGCAACTTTTTAAAATATTCATAAAAACTAGTATCTCAATGATACTAAAATAACATTGTCCTTGTATCACACTTAGCGATTGTTGTGAAAATCACCTTCAAAATCACTAATATTGATTGTTTTGTACATTTTAGGACTATTTTTTTCTTAGTGGACGCTTTAAGATAATATACAGGTAAGATTATCAAATATTTGAAACTCAACTCATATTTCATAATATATATATATTGCAATAATGACCTCTTGACTGTGCATCCCTTTCATATTATATCCTGCTTAAATAATAATAATAAAAAAAAACAGTAAAAAAGAAACGCTGAATGTAAATATCCATAAAAGTGGATAACTTACAGAAGAAAAGCAGACATTTCAACCTACCTTTTTAAGCCAAGTGAAATGCTTATAAAAGTCAATTTTCTCTTCCATGCTGAAGGCCCATCTCGACCCGTTATAGTAAGGGAGCGACTGCAGCAGCAGCAGGCTGAGATCTGAGCTTTGGGTTTCAATGAATCTGTGTGCCTGTTTTACAGCCGTCTCCTCCTCCTCCTCCTTATATTGGCTGCTGAAGACAGGAGTTCCTAACATGCTGAAGCAACTGCACAAACCTCATTTCTAATGCCAGACGTCTGCCCAAGACCCCCTGCGTCTGATGTCCAGCCAGACACTTAGAAGTTCTGTGTGTGTGTGTGTGTGTGTGTGTGTGTCATATGCAAAACATAAATCCACAACTTCCACTTCCTGTTGTTACATACTACTACACACAAACTTCCTTGTTCACATGTGAAAGTCTATATATTTGTTATATAGACTTTCTTTCAGCCTTTTTCTTTTGTCTGTGTGAGACAGTGGCTTTAATTAAGTCCAATGCAAGTCTGAACCGAAACAAGCCAGTGTCTCAGTTTAGCACAAGAAAAAGAGAGAGGGTGGGGGGGAATTTAAAGGCACACTGCCTTCCAGTGATCTCCCATCTGTTTTTACTCAAGGCTACAACCCAAAGACCCTGTATCCGGTGGAAGACATCCATCCATTTCTGTGTCTTTTTAACTTTACAAGCAACCCTGCTGTCCAGTTGTCTCCTTTATAGACAAACACAGCTGAGGCAAAGACTGTGCAGGGAATGACAAGCACAAACTAGCCTGTTTGGTACTAGTTAACAACATAATAACCTTGTGATCTTGTCAGGCCTTTAGCTTACATGCCCCTATGTACACCGCTATACACTATTATATAATTAACTTTCTTAAAGAGCTAAAAAAGGTAAATCATCATTTAACGTGTAGTCACCATTAGCAAAATTGCATGTGGAAATTGTGCATCCATTGTCAACCACTCACACAGAAGACAATTTTATAAATGTGCTAGTCGCTCTTTGGATACAATTACGATACATGGAGACCGACGTTTTAAAACTACAAAAAGCATTGTAAAAGTACACCATCCAATTCAAAATGATGTTAAAAAATGTTTATGTAGCCCTCAAACTGTATTCACTTTATAGCCCTTAATCCTGTAATTGTGGACAAATGTGGGCACAGAGGACTCAGGTGTGATCCTAATTTTTATTTATTATAAATGTTATATCACTGTCTTCGATAAAGTTTTATCCATCCATTTATGGTGTTTTTATTATTTTGGGGGTATTTTTGAATTTATTTACTTCAAAAAGTACCATATTTTCTATGTAAATTATGCTTATTTTTATGTTTTATTTTTTTAAATTTTTTTTTAACTACATCAAAATATAATTCCAATAAGTTCTTAGAGCTAAAACCTAAAAAATGAAGTGACTTTGCTGTCACCTGGTGTCTTATTTTGGCTTATTTTAGAATGCTCTAAATTACAGTTTTTCCCATTCATTTCTATGGG